CACTGTCTCAGACCTTAGTTTTATCCAACTGCTTTGCAGCCAGAGGAACTGAGGTTTGAACAGCTATGAAAGCTGTTTCCAGACCCTAAGCCAGGAAGAGGCAGAGTCTGAACTTGTTCAAATTTAGGAACTCTCCGCCTTGAAGGCCTGAGTTCTTTCCTCTTCTCCAGTGCCTGGTGATGGTGAGGGGGAGGAGCCAAGGGATCAGAGCTCACCAGCTGCACCTTCCAGCCCCGGCCAGGGGGAGCCCACAATTACAGTGGTGAGAGCCGCAGTGGCCAAGTGTGAAGAGCAGGCACACAGCGGGGCTGTGTGTGCAGGCGTAGGCGAGAATGCTGGAGCCTGCACCCATGGGTGAGGGGCACCCAAGAGGCTCAGGGCTGAGAAAGCACATGGAGCCAGGAGACCTCGTAACCCCACCCAGCTTTGTCCCTACGCTGCAGGCATCCCTGAAGAGTTTGCTTTAGTCCACAGGTCTCAGTTTATCAACCTATGAATTGGGCCCAATAATAGACCCCCCACCCTTCTGGACTCTTCTAAGAATCAAACTCGAGCACAGGAAGCAATTTTAATGGTACAGATTGGCATTCAAACATGAAGTTACCTTGCTAGCTGAGGATGCCCCCGGCTTCCACCTAGGATTTGCTGGAGAAGGAGGCCGGCTGGAACAGGAGAAAGTCTCAGGATGTGTTCGCAGCTCTTGGCTGTGGCAGAACAGGGTTAACTCTGCCCTAATTCCTGTTTTCAGCACTCACAGTCTGCCTGGGGCACAGACAAACACCTCCATGCCAACAAATCTGATTCTGTACCCTTTCTTAGGGACAAGACTAGGTTCAGGGGCGCCATGTATATAATCTCCATTTTTCCTGCAAACATTGGTATTTGAACAGCCCGAGAGGCTCACCCTTTGTCTGGCCTTAGCGACCTCCCCAGGACTCCTGCCCAGCCCCTTGCAGAAGCCCGGCCAGCCCCACCCCCTCCTGTCCGGCCTGGCATCTGTTTCTTTGGCACCGGTGGCTTGGTTGTTGGCTTCTTGGGCAGATGATCAGCCCCAGGGACAGGTGGTGACCTTCCGTGCTCTGTGCCGTGGCCCAAAGGGCGACACACAGCACATGCTCTGACAGAGCCATGAACAGGGAGCAGACCCATGAACAACCTCTTCCCATGTCCAAAGGGCTGTGCTGCACGGAAGAGCCTTCCTCTTGGGAGCACAGGCAGTGACACGGGACAGGTCAGTGTGATTCATGTTTCACCTGTTGTAGGAGTACGCTGAGGAGGCGGGTGCTGAGGATGGAACCCAGTCTCCCGGGGCCGCGGAGCCGCTTGAACCCGGGGCTTTCATGAGGATGACAGAAGGCTGTTGAGAGCCAGCTGGGTGCACGCTAATCACACTGAAGACACTTCTGTCACAATGAGCCCTCTGAGTGGGTGCTCGGACCTGTCACCTCTGGCCACCCCAGGGGCTGCCCCTGAGCACCTCACATGGCCTGTTACCTCACATTCCAGGTGTCCTGTTACCCAGCAGAAGCCCTAGGTTATTGTGCACGTGCTTACATGAAAAACAGCTGACAACAGTAGCTGAAACCATGGAGCAATACCACGTCCCTCACCCCATAAGAATCCTTGTTTTTAATCCTTGCTGCTAACTAATGGCACAGGTAATGATGTGCCCATTTCACAGATGCAGAAAGCAAGGCTTTCTTCAGTAACACACAGGTCAAGAGTGCACAAGGACTACAGGGTAGAAGAAGGACCAACGCCTCTGTTTCCGTCCTCCCTGCTTGGGTGGCTGTCTCTCAGTGGAGGCTACATTGGCCTGGCCCATGCCTCACCCCATTTTAGCCGCCCTGCTAGGTGCTACAGCTCTGAGCCTCAACCCTGGCCAAGCGCTAGAGTGCCCCCAGCCAGGCCCGGCCCTGGGAAGGGTCTGCAACTGGTTCTAGACTGAGCCTAGAGCCCTTGGTCCATTTCTGGGGCTCTCCCCAGTGCTGTGAGTCTGGGGAGAGGGACGGGAGCATGAGAGCAATCAGCTTCTCCAGGTGTACAGTGGGGCAGGGCAGCCAAGCGAGGTTTGTAGGTCCCCTGGGGGGTGGCTGCCAGGGGGCTGTGGCAGGACAGGGGCATGGTGGCCCCAGAAGGAGGTGCGCAGGGCCCTGTGAGGGGCTGGGGCTGGGAGGTGATGTGCACCTGCAGTTGGCAGCCTGGAAAACTGCCTGGTGTTCAGCACAGGGCCTCATCAGCTAAGCCACAGCTCCAGGTGGGCAGGACTCCAAAGCCCTTCCATGTATACACAGCGCTGTCCTTACAGAGGAAACGGGGGCCTGTCACTGACACACCACCGCCAGTGCCCAGTCTCACTCTGTCCTTACCATACCCCTTCGGGTGGATAGGAGCACCTTCCATCTCATCGATGGAGGGACTGAGGCCCAGCGTGTGGGATTACACTCTGGGAGGCTGAAGCAGGAGGATCCCACATTCAAGACCAGCCTGGGTAATTTAGCAACACTGTGTCTCAAAATTAAAAAATGAAAAGGGCTGGGGATATAGCTCAATGTGAAGGCCCTGGGTTGAATTCCCAGTACCACAGGTCCAGGGAGAGAAGAGAAGGAGGGAAACAGGGAAGGAGGGGAGAAAGGAAGGAAGGAAGGGAGAGAGGGAGGAAGGAAGGAGGGTCTGAGGTCCAGAGGGGTGAGCTGACTTCCTCAGACACACAGCTTGTTAGTGGCAGGGGAGTACGTGAACCCCCTACACTCAATCCAGGCTCCATTTCAGCAGCCCTGGCACAAGCTGATGCCCAATAATATTTAATCAGTTATGCCATACAGTGATCTAGGTCCTTGCCTGGACCTTCCTGGCAATCATTGCGTTCCTGGGACCCATCTCTCCCAGCACAGCACAGCCAGGCTGGGGAGAGGGAGGGTCCCCATTCAGGGATGAGAGCTGGGGTTCATAGCCAATCCTCAGCCAAACTGCACAACAGCACATCTGTCATTGACCATAAAACCATGCTGCTCTTTAAAAAGAAAGGCAGAAAACTTGTCCCTATTACTTATCCCCAGGGAGGTGCCCAATTCTCCTGCCCCGAACTGCGCTGACTCTGCACAATAGAGAAAGATTTCTCCTTATTGTTCTAAATTTACTGTCCAGTAATTTTTCTGTTCTCATTTTACGTGATGGGCACCTGAATGATTTTTCCCCAATCCTTTTTATGAATCTAAACCAACCCATAAATCGCTGCTGACATCTCCTCTCCAGCCCTAAAGGGAAAAAAAATCTCCCCAGCTTTTCGGCCTTGGCTGGGGGTGGGGCTTCGGCTCACACGTCTGGGTCCCTGCTGTGGGTCACCTGGGGCAAAGGCAGGCAAGCCCCGGGCTGGGGCTCTGCGTTGGTGTGGAGCAGGTGGCAGAAACAAAGGCCATGTGGCCACCGGGGGAAAAAGGCTCACAGCCTGGATGGCAGGAGAGCTGGGTCCTGAGGAGCGAGTCTGTAGAGCGCTTTGGGGGTGGCAGGACCAGGGAGCTGGGATGGCAGCCTGGGGAAGGGCCTGGAGGAGACGCCAGCTCAGGCCAGGCAGGGTCAGAAAGCGGGGGTGCACAGACAGCAGGAGGAATGGGGCGGTGGAAAGGTGAGGTCCTGTGGGCTGGGGTTGGTAGGGTGAGGCCCTCACATGGCTGGATGAGGGCTTTGGACCGTGCTGTGGGCAGCTGGGTCAGCAGTGGTTTCTGAGCAGGGAAGAGACCTACTGGCCCGGCAGGGAGAGTCATTGCCCAGACATAGTCTGGGGCCACCTGCCCCAAGCCCCGGCCTCCGTGGTGCTGCCAGGGCATCTGCTGGTTGTTAGGTTTTTGTTTTGTTTTGCTACCAGGAATCGAACTCAGGACCTTGCACTTGCCAGGCAGGTGCTTGTGCCGCTGAGCTGTATCCTCAGCCCCTGGTTGTTAGGTTTAAAGCAGTAAACATTGGCACAGAGCACACACCAAAGCATTGTGAGTTTTCACCCTGCTTACACAAAAGTGGCTACTACAGGGTCAAGAACTTCGCCCAAGCCACACTGCTAGTAAGGATGTGACAGCCCTCATGCTACCTTCCCTGCCTTTCTGCCCCTTCACGCCGTCTGAGGGCCATCCTGCCTCGGGGGGACAAGTGTTGCCACAGCCAGGACCTCGGCCTCTGCGGCTCCCAGGGAAAGGACATGGTGCCCGCTGCGTCCCCCTGTCCTGGTGGAGCTGCTGTACTGAGCAGCAGTACGGTCCAGACCCAGATCGACATCTCCTCAGCATGTGGTGATCTTCCAAATAAAAGTGCCAAGTTTCACTTAGCCAGGGTGTTTACTGTCGTTCCTCTCTGTCCTTTGGACCCTGAGAGCCAGTGGCACCCAGATGTGTGTGAACCACTGCACCGTGTGACAAATGTCAATGGAGCAGTCAGGATCAGGCTACGTTTGGGGTGGGAGAGGCTCAGCAGAAGCCCCACTGAGCTGGAAGCCTGACCCCAGGGCAGGGCTGGGAGAGGAACCGGAAGAGGAACAGCACTGAGGCAGGCGGTTTGGGAATGATGATGGGGGGGTAGGACCAGTAGGCAGGGAGACTCCGGCCTAGTTGGGGGGCGGTCACCCCTGCCTGGATGGAGAGTGCTCCAAGTGAGGCGGCAGGAGCTGGGTGGGGAGGGTTGACCCAGTTCTCATGGTCCTGCTCTGTCCTGTGCATAGTCCTCCAGGGGTCATTCACAGCTGGGCTCTTCTGTCCCCCAAACAGAAGCCTTCACCTTCCTACCTAGTGCCCCCACCCGTGTCCCCAGCTCCATGGACCCACCAGGTACCATGTCCACCACCGGGCAGGCTGGGCATTTGGCAGGAGCTGGCCAAGTTGGGATGGGTGATGGAAGCTGAGTCAAGGTGAGGCGTGGAGATGGGGTCTGGAGTCCTTGTCACAGTTTCTGGGGTGGTGAGGGTGTGTTCTTGTCACCCTGGCCTGGCTGACCAGCTTCATCTCTTGGAACAGAGGCACAGAGCTTCGGCCTGCTGGACCCCAAACTTTGCTACCTGCTGGATGGAATCCTCTTCATCTATGGCGTCGTCATCACTGCCCTGTTCCTGAGAGCAAAGGTGGGCACCCGGGCTCCACAGGCAGGGCGTGGACTTCTCTGCTTGGTGAATATACAGATGCAAAGCAGTCCTGGTTTTGCAGTCTCAGGCTTGTTGGTATCTGGGGCTTGGGTCTCGGCCAAGACTGAGAGCGGCTCTGTGTGTGTGTGTGTGTGTGTGTGTGTGTGTGTGTGCATGCGCACCCCAGGTGGGCTGAGGAAGTGGGGGCATCTGTCCGGGCCAGTACCTTTGTGAGGAGCTGAGCTCATGCATGGACATCAGTGTCCCATGGCAGGGGCTGCTGCCGGCCAGCAAGAGGCTTGTGCTTGGGCAATTAAGAGCAGGGAGGGGGGGACCCTACAGCCTCTCCCCACATCCTGCTGTCAAGCTGCTAAATCATGACCACATGGGCCTTTCTCCTGACACCTCTTTCCCCACTGTATGGGAGGGTTGGCCAGGGCGCTGGTTCACCCGAGATGTCTGCTGGGCCTGGATTTCTCACAGGGGCAGAAGGTAGCAGGAGTGTCATCCCCGCAGCGCACACTAGAGCATTTCCCCTTTGAATTTTTGTTCTCTGCCATGAGATTTGATTTGAAAAATAGTCTTCTTTACTTTTTTGAAACTTGGAAACACAGCCATGGCTGAGCTCTAAGGTTGTTGCCCATGTCCTTAGCTCCTCTTGGCTGGGGCAGCAGACATTGGGAAGAGTGAAGCGCTAGCACCAGGCATCACAGCTTGGCTGCCGGGACTTTGGGGATGCCCGGGGTGCAGGGAGGAGCACAACGGCCAGGGAAGGGGTGCATGCCTGTAATCTCAGTACTCTAGGAGGCTGAGGCAGGAGAACTGCAAGTCTGATCCCCAGCTCGGGCAACTCAGTGATTTATTGAGAACTTGTCTCAAAATTAAAAAAAAAAAAAATTAAAAAGAAGGACTGGAGATGTAACTCATTGCTAAGGCTGTGGGTTCAACCCCAGTATCGGGGAAAAAAAGGAAAAGGGGCTGCCAGGCTGTCTGGCCCTGCACAGCCAGCACAGAGGTGAACGTGGAACCGCAGAATATCCTGGGGCTCTGAAGCCCCGCATGGAGCAGTCATGTTTGCTCTCCTACATTGCAGTTCGGCAGGAGCATGGAGGTGCCCGCCCACCAGCAGGGCCAGAACCAACTCTACAATGTAAGTCTGCATTCCAACACTCACGCTGTGCAGTTCCAGCCACGGCTAGGTGATCAGTTGTGCACCCCATTTTCTAGCCAGGGATCGTGGCTGTACCCGCCCCTCAGGGAGGAGCCCATGCTGTCATGGCTGGGTGTTGCGGGGGGAAGAAGTGTTTTAGACTCTTCACAGCAGGGAGGGAGGCAGTCCCACTCCCGGGCCCCTTGTTCACCTTCTCCGAGCCTCAGTTTCTTTATTTGCTTGTGGGAAAGTCATTACTTACCCATTTGATTGCTCAGCATATAGTAGGAAAGTACTGGGCACCTTTGGGGATCCGGTCCCCTGTCGTTGCACCCTCTGTTCTCACACAGGGTCTCTGAGCCCAGGGATGGCTTCCATTCGATGGGCCACGTCCCCCCACCTCCCTGCCCCACTTCCCATGAGCCACCACCAGGAGGAAACTGGAAGGGCCCCGCTGGCCCCATGCTCTTGCAGTGCCTCTTCCTGTGTCTGACTCCCTCCTCTTGTTGCAGGAGCTCAATGTAGGACGAAGAGAGGAGTATGATGTTTTGGATAAGCGGCGGGGCCGGGACCCCGAGATGGGCGGGAAGCAGGTAGGGGACCCTGTGTGTGGGGGCCAGGCTCTGGAGGACTTCCTTGGCCACCCCCTCCTCCCTTCTCCTTGGCCCCATCCTGCACTGGCAGGGACCACCCTGGCCTCGTGTCATCCACCTTCCCCAGACGGCTCCTTGTCTGCCCTGAGTTGAGCACGGTGGCACCACCTGTCTGGGAAGACAGACCTGACGAAGGGGGCCACACAGGCAGGGGCTTAAGGCCCTGGGCATCCCCCCATTCCAGCGTCAGGACTGCACTCAAGGTGGCTCTGACCTTGGACTTTGTAATCTCCACCCCCTGCGGAGATGTAGCAGTTAAAAAGCTAGAGTGCAGTTCTTTGGAGGATAGAAATTTTGAGCCCACTTCGGCCTGGGCGACTTAGCAAGACTGTCTCAAAATAAACAAAAATTTACAAGGGCTGGGGACAAAGGTCAGTGTGAAGGACCTGGGTTTCATCTCCAGTGCCAGGGTGGGGTCAAGGGAAGCAGGGCTAAGGACAAAGGCTGAGACTCCCTGTGGCTGCCTACCTGGTGGCCCTTCGTGTTTCCGGCCACGTGTCCACCCGGCCCTCATCTAGACGCTCTAAGCAGCCCTGTGCCATGTGTATGTTGCCAGCAGGAGTAGAGGGCAGGGAGACACCAGTCACCCCTTCCCAGCCTCCCGCCCCTGCTCTATACCCTCCGCCCATCTGGGAGGCAGGCAGTGGAGCATGGCACCTGCACCTCTCAGCAGGACCTGCCTCGCTCCCGCAATGGGATTCCGTAGTACCTCTCTGCTTGTAAGGCGGAGGTGGGGGGGAACCCTGCCAGCAGTGGGGACGATGGCCTCCTGGGGCCTGAACCCACCCCTCTAACCTCTCCCTGCTGTCTCTCCTAGGCGAGGAGGAAGAACCCTCAGGAAGGCGTGTACAACGTGAGTGGGGAAATCATTCGCCCTTGACCTCATGATGTTGGGGGGTGGGCAGCAGGGGGCTCTGGGGGATTCCTTTTTCCACACTTTAGTCTCCTCCTGTCGCGGCTGTCCCTTCGCTGGGTCAGGTGGGTTACCTTCTGGCTTGCAGCCTTCAGCAGAGCGACGTATAGGAAGGCACCTTAGCTGAGCAGTGTCGGTGTCGCAGGTCATTTCTGGTCCCTCCCCTCCCCTTCCTGCTGTTTGGGCTGGAGTTCTCAGGTCCATCAGCCTGGGGCAGTGGCTGTTCACTGCAGGCTAAGCTGTGTGAGAGCGAGGGGGCCTCCTGTTGTATACCCTGCCACTCTGGGTGTGAACCGGATGGTTGTTTCAGGCCACTAAGAGGCTGCAGGCTAGAGCCCTCCCTCCCCTTCCTCCTGCAATTGGTTGATCCACACCTTGTGGTGCCGGTGGAGATAATTTGCTCAAATAAATGGTTCTTCAGGCCAGCCTTTGTGTTGCCCAGTGTGCCTGCCACAGCCTCCACCACCACCTCATATTTGTAGAGCTTTGCTGAGCTTGTCTGCTCAATGAGAAGGAGCTCTGAGGCTGAAGGGGTGGGTGGAGCTGGTTGCAAGCAGAAGTGCTATAGGTTACAGAAGCGTTGGATCCTCTCTTGTGGGTGCCCCAGCCAACTCGGGGATGGAGAGCCTTCTTGTGGGAGAGCCTGCTCTTTTCTGCATCAGTCAGTAAAATCAGCAATGTGTGCTTTCTCCAGGCGCTGCAGAAAGACAAGATGGCCGAGGCATACAGCGAGATTGGGATGAAGGGCGAGGTGAGTGGTGCTCCTTTCCTCATGCCCACAGGGTCCCCCATAGTTTTCTTCCCAAATGTCTCTCAGACAACTTTTAGAAGCTCCCATGTGGTGCTCCCCTGGTGACCCTGACTCCAACTTTCACCAAGTTGGACAGAAGAAGGACTGAAAAGCAAATCTAGATTCTGTGATAGCCTAAGCTTTGCAGAAGTGAGTCAGGTCTGTCACTGGCAATGCCCAGAAGTGCTGAGAGCTTTACGTGCGTTGACCCACAGTCAGCAGCAGAATGAGAACACCGGGCCCCTTGCTCATATATGAGGAAGAGTGTCAGGATGGTGAGATGGAAGGGTGGAGCCCTAGCAGGGGCCCTGGGTAGCTGCATAGGTTGTGTGACTGTGAAGCTTGTGTAGTTTGTGCCCTGCACAGATGGGTCCCATTTAAGTCCTACAATAACCCAGTGAGAAATGCATGTCCGCAAGGAACAGGGAGATTAAGTAACTTACCTAGTCACATAGCTAGGAAATGGGGGAGCAGGAGTTGAATCACCTGCGGCCCAGCTTGTAACAACACTTGCTGTTCCCAGAAAGTGCCCATCACTGGGCAAGCATTTCAGGAGCTGCAGAGCGGTCTGTCTATTCCAAGCAGCTGACAACATGGCCAGATGCTATTAGGATTCTAGGAGGCTCCAAGCCAGGTCTCCTCTTAGTGTGCAGCAGTGAAGGCCTGACTGGGCTTCTGAGGACCCTCCTGTCCCAGGTCTAGGTGCTGGTTGGGAGACGGGCACCTCTGACTTTCCAGGGGCCCCTTGAGTGGGGCTCTTGAACAAGCATGCCACTACCAACTGCCTTACCTGCTAATCTTTCTCTTTTCACAGCGGCGGAGAGGCAAGGGGCATGATGGCCTTTACCAGGTAAGAGCTGGGCTTTCCTTCCTGAGGCTCCCTCACCAGCTCCCAGGCAGGGTGAGCTCAGCATCACACGGGCCAGTGACAACTCCCCTGCTCCGAAGTCCCAAGGGCAGATGGGACTCAGCCTTCAAGCAGATCACTTGGCTCCAACCAGGAGACCACAGGAGCCCCATGGATGTTCTGGCCATAGTAGACAGCAGCAGCAGTGGAGTGCAGACCTCCAAAAGTACACACAGTGTAGGCCAAGGGCTCTCCATAAGTGACTCCCTGTCCTGCATGGGGCTCTTGTAAAAGCCTTGACTCCTTACACCTAAGATCTTGGAGGATGTGCAGGGAGGTGGAAGAAGCAGAAATTAAGCAAAATGATAGCTTCATAAGGAAAATGTTACCGTAATCGGATGTCTGGTTTATGCAAATTAGTGCAAATGATTACTCAAAGTAAGTGCAGTCAACCTACTTTAGTAAAACAGGAACCACAGTGGGTTCATTTCTCTCCTTTTGGCTCCCTGGCCCTGGGCTTTGAGGGTGCACAGTGCCCTCCCAAGAGCCCGAGAGCCCACCTGCTGGAAACTGGTGTAGCCTGTGCCTTCCCAGCCCCCGGACCAACCTTGCCTGCTGCTCCCCGACAAAGGACATGCCATGGTGGCCAGGCCTGGGAAGGAGGCTCACAGCAGAGGGAGGGCTGAGGTCCAGGAGCTCCACTCTCCCTGTGACAAGTCCAGGCCTCCCATGGGCACAGGCGCCTGGTAGCAAATTCTCTGAAGCACACCTGGCCCTTCCCCAGAACTCCGGCTCTGTACCTGAGGGTGGGAAGCCTTCTTCCTCTTTGGCCTGATGGGATGCTGGTTGGGGCCAGTAGCTATGGGTGCCAGCACTTGGGGAACTGGGAGGGGAGGATTTAGCTGGAAAGGAGATGCTGCAAACTGGGGGAGGGGGCCTCCTGGAGGCTGGGGCAGGCCTGCAGCTGGGCACCTGACCTCTCTTCTTTTCCCATCTGCTTCCACCAGGGCCTCAGCTCGGCCACCAAGGACACCTATGATGCCCTCCACATGCAGGCGCTGCCCCCTCGCTAGCAGCCGGAGGACTCTGCCTCTCACGGGCCTGACCTGCTGACGCCCAGATTGTGAAGGACATAGGATTGAGCCTTCACAGCCAACAGTGTTCTATGAATAGGGTGCCTCAAGTTGTAACATTTGGTCTTCTCCAATCCCAAACCATCCCACACAGAACGCCACCCCTGGACTCCCTCAGGGTGCCCTCCTGCTGCCCCAGGGTGGCGGGCCTGTCCTGGGGTCTTCTGGCTTGCTGGTGACTGTAGACAGGCCTCTTTCCCTGAGGTTCCAGGCCCTGGCTGGGGGGTACCTGTGCTCCCTCTCACACCTCACTTGTTATGTCTATGTTTTGTGAAGTCCCCAGGGAGGCCCCAAATGTTAACACACGTCCTGTCTGTATCTTTCTGCCCAAATTTGACTGGCTTTGCTCCTGCTGTAAATTTAGCCTCTGTGGTCAACCTTCCCTCATTTCAAGGTAGCCTGTCATGGTGCCACGTGGCAACAGGGCTGAAGGCAGCCAGGGCAGCAGCCCACTGCTGCGGTGGACAGCAGGGCATGGGAGGGCTCTGAGGAGCAGGAGGCCTCTTCTATCAGGCGTGCTTGTCACACCATAGTCTGGATGCCACATGTCCCAGGGACTGAGGGATGGACAAGAAAGTCGCCCCTCATGGAGCTCACACCGGGGGAAAAAGAGCTGGCAGGATAGCATGAAAACCACAAGAAACATTATCATGGAGGATGAGCGAGAGAAGGCACAAGCTCGGCCTTCTCCCAAGCCTGCCCTCTCCCACACTTGGCCTGAACGGTGAGCTATCCTTGCAGAGGTCTTGAAGACGACCCAGCACCACGCAGCCCCATGACCATCCCTGTGGGCCAGGGTGCCATTGAAGAAAGCCCAGCGGCTTCTGCACACTTGCTGCGTGATTAAAAGGCACATGTCCATGGATAGAAACCCCTTTCTGCTCTGCTTGGTTTTAATTTATACTGGTTTGCCCAAGCCTTACTGTTTTGCATAATAAATGCTTCAGGGAAAATTCTGCTTACCCTAAGCTTTCTTTCCAATCATCAGGAAACTGGCACGTGGGAACAGGGGTGGGCATGGGGCACCCAGCACCCCAGGTGTTGCTGTGGGGCAGCATTCTGGGCACCAGGGCTGGTGGCTGTGCCTTGGGAGCCAGGGCAGTGCCCAGGGCAATGAGATGGCAGAGCCCAGAGAGTGTTAGGAAAGGCACCTGGCTTCTGGAGACTCTCAGGAGAGGGGTCCGGAAGAGGTCTGCTATGAGCAGGCCTATGTCCTGCGGCAAAGAGCAACTGACACCACAGGACCACGTCTCAGCCCACAGGACCTGAGGGCCAGCAGTGGCCGACAGGTCTTGCAGGTCAGCTTCCTTCAAAAGGTGCTCCTGCCCAGCAGGATTTCCTTTACCTAGAGTGGCTCCAACTCATGCCCACCAGTTTCTGTCACACAAAGACTGAACTCTGCACCTGGATGTTCTCAAAGATGTCCAAGATCCTCTGCTAACCGTCCTTGAATGTCTGGGCCCCAACAGCAATGTGTACCACCGGCAGGCACACACTTAAACAGGCAGCTCACGAGAAGTCCCTTGATTTGTAACCCAGCTTTGCAGGAGAAAGATACTCACTGGGCCTGTACAGCTGATGTTCATTTCTGTTAGTCTAAGTGGCCAGCCTTCTACCTAGGGCCTGTATAGGCTTGTAATATGTGGCTTGTCCGAAAAAAAAAATTGGCCCAATTCTGTCACGTCTCAGGGGAAAGTGGGGAGAGCTGGCAGTGAGCTACGGGAGCTGGAACCACCCAAGTTGGAGGACTTTCTAGGCTACTGAAGTGTAACAAGTCAGAGGAAGCTAGTCCCCGGGAGAAACACAGGTCTAGATCCAAGCTGACAGTGGCTATCTCTGGAAGGGTCTGGATTTCTGCCCTTGCTGAGGTCTTGCAGTGCCCTCTCCACAACTGTATTCCCTTCCTCCCAGTATGAGTGAATGTTAAGTACTATCAACTTATTTCAAGGAAAAAACACTACGTTAAACATCCATTGTCCGACATGTGATATGATGGAAAATACAACGAATGTTTAAATGAAAAAAAAAAAAAAACACAACATTATTACAGTAAGACACATTGCCATTAATCCCCCTCAAGTCCTCTCCCTGGTTTTGAAGACACTTATCCCATTGCCCTTGCCATTTTCTGAAGCAGTTTTGAAGTGCTGTTTTGAGTCTTTAGTTACACTGTTGTGGCTGCCTCACATTTACCTTTTATGGTCATTTTGACTTTAGGGATAGAGCCAGAGGTCACCTGATGAATCAGGTGGATGAGGACGCATTGTGATGTTTTTATGAACCTGTCTTTCTGCTGGATGTCACTTGGCAGCATCATTCACTGTATTTTTGATCAAACCTGGTAGACACTCATGAAAAAATTTCCAGAACTGCTTCAGCAAGCAGGAAGAATCCTGGGAGGAGTGTGTTTGAAGCAAGGGAGAGAATTCTGGGGGGGATTAATGGCAACGTCTTACTGTAACCAATCTTTTTAAATTGCAATCACACCTCATAGTCCTGTTTCATGTGTTAAAATGTATAGAGATGTGCCTTAAAATCCAGAAAACATGGAATTATACTTGAATTAAGGGACCAAGATATTATATATATAAATGAAGATGGAAACTCTCAGTATCAGTTTTTTTTCTTTTCTGAGAGTAGAATTTGGGGTTTTGCATGGAAGAAACTTGACACTCCTTGCTAACCAACAGAACAATATTTAAGCACACCAATAGCTTCCACCCTGGCCTGTGGAGTGAGAAAATGCGCTGAGGGAAGAGGACATGCAGGCACTTCTTGCACTTTCCCCTAGGGAGCTAGGCTCTTACAGTGCAGCTGCCTTACAACAAAGGACTGCAGGGTCAGAGTCTGGTCAGTGGTTTATCTGCGTTACCTAGGGTGTAACAAAGGGGTTTGCTTGCTGAAGTCTTTATTGTGGGCAGCATGCCACTGTCTCTACCAAACAGAGGGTTTCTCGATGACAGGCTTGGTGGTGTACAACTGTAATCCCAGCACTGTGAGAGGCTGAGGCAGGATGAGCATAAGTTGAGCCCAGTTTGGACAACTTAGCATCTTGGTGAGACCCTGTCTCAAAGAGTAAAGGTCTGGGGATAAAGGCAGAAGACCCTGGGTTCAATCCCCACTACTAAAAAGAAAAAAAGGAAGAAAATCTTTTAAGAAAATAATTTTACAAATTTACACATGCAAAAAAAAAAAAAAAAAAAAAAAAAAGGAAGGGAAGAAACATAAAGGGAGTTCTTTGATGTAGGAGCAGGCGAGATGACCAAGTATCTGTCCTTTCATGTTTGTTCCTCTACAAGACTGCAGCCTGACAGCAGAGCTCTGTTGGAACTCACTGGAGAACACACATCAGTCAGATCTGTCAGCACAGGACACACAGGGACTTCAGCAAGCTCTCTCCAACAAGCTCAAGTTTTCTGAGACACTCGTTTTCAGATTCAAATTTTCCTTTCTATGAAATGAATGGATTGTATGAGGACCCCACACAGAAGCTACAGAAGCTAATCTGGGCAGCCTGGCACAGGAGGACCAGAGGTGGGTGGAACTAGCCTCCCGAGGACCTGGGGGAGGTGCCACCTGGCCCTGGCACCAGACTGTGAAATGGGAAGGGAGCTCAACCCTTAAAGGGATGAAGCCTCATGGAGCTCTGAAGAATTTCCTTGCAGGATCAATCAGACAAAGCCTCTAGCCTGAAGGACACCGTCTGAGACTGAACTCAGGGTCCTACCGCACCCTGCCAATGCCTAGGGAGGGTAGCTGTGATGGCCGTGGCTCCCCATACAGCAGGAGGAGGAAACCCAAAGAGCAGGGCAAGACCAGTGGGCTTGCAGTACGCCAGGGTTCCCCAGTGAATCTGCCAGGAAAGGGAAATGCGGAGGCCCCTATCTGTGAGGTGTGTGAAGCATCCGGCAAACAAACACAGTGACTTCAGAGAAACTCCAACAATGTGAAAACACTTGGAAAATGGTTTAATGATGTTTTACAACAGAAATGAACTGTACAGTTACAGTAAGTTTAATATATATATAAAAAATTACAGCAGACAAATGCATCTACACAAAGTCTACCATTTCATTCAGATTCACTGGCACCTACACAATCTCTCCCAGCCTACACCCCCTGCAGGCAGCCCAGGAGGGGGAATCATATAAAGGGCACTTTAAAAGAGACAGCACCGCTCATAGTCCCCACCACCTCCTCAGGCCTCAGGAGGCATCAGCTAATTCCCCACCTTGTAAAGTCGCCTGTGTTTCAGGTTTGCAAAACCAAGAAAATGTGTGTTTCCAAAGGGGCACAGATAACAAGGTCCAGTGTTCCCAGTTATCAGTTGATTCTTACAAAACATTCCTAGCAGGGGAAATGGCTAAACAGGCGCTCTGGGGCAGTGCGGCTACACAATAGCCACCCAGATTGCAAAGTCATCTAGGAGAAATGTAAAAGGACTCCCAATAAACTACTTAGAAATTGTCACTGCCTCCCATTAGAGCTGCTGGACAATTCTGGAAAGAATCATTTACACCACATCTTAAGTTTCCACAAAGAAGAACTCAAACTCACATTTTAAAGTACATAAAATAAAACAAAAATTTTGGGAGGCCAAGGGGCTAATTCCCCTTGTGGCCCTCCCTTGACAACAGTGGAAAAACACCCCTGAATTGATATTTAAAAAATAAAAGGAAGAAAAGAAAAGATGGGGGGAATAAAGGTATTTAAAGACAGAAAATATCTTTAGAAAACACGATCACTGTCTCTTTAAAACAAAACAAAACCCCAGTTGCACACAGTAATCAGTGACTATGCAATCCAATTGACACCTGGTAGAGGATTATTATTCAATATTATGTACATCAGAACTTTTTCATTTTCTTTTTTATTATGAACACCTAGGCAGTGAAAACTGTTATGTTAATACATACATAGACACACCCAAAACATACAAAAATACTATTATTTCAAACTACTAAGAATAGGACAGCTCAATTATTTTCATGCTATGACTTTAAGAGCATTACACTGAAACAAACAAGAAGTTAAAGGACTTTTTTTAATATCCCAGAAATATACCAAAATATACATCTAAGCTTTGGAATTACTGAGGTTAGACTAATGCAAGTGCTGGGTAATCGTACTTAATACACAAGTCTAAGGTTCTGCAGGAAAGAAATTATCTTTGGTATCTGCATCAGGCTAATATTATTAACATTTGGATTTTGCTTTGGGATAGAGCTTGTATGACCCTAGAACCAAATACCCCCCCACCCCCAATCAACTGAGATTAAAAAGATCCGTGTAAAAAGTTCCTTCATTTGCAATCCCCCCACCCCCCAAGTTAAAAAGTCACAGGCATCTACCTAGCACAAAAGGTTGTGAAATACAATGCATAGTTGCACAGTGGTGCTGCAAAAAGGAAACAAAACTATAATAAAGAGAAATGAAAAGTTTGATAATCATTCTGCATGTTTCCTCAAGAACAGGACAGCCACTTCCAAGCAGTTCCAGTAAAGGAAAAGAGAAAAAGGCTCAGAAGGGCCCCTCCGCTCTCCGCCCCGCCCCCGAAGTGAAAGCACCCAGCAGAGCAGCCAATCCTGCACCAGCGTCTCCAACACTCCATTCTGTGGAGTCCTCGGCCAGTCCCTCAGCAGCTGGGCACCCTAGTCCCTGTGCTCAATCCCTGCAGCAACCCTGGTTGTTTACGGTGGTGATAGGGTTTTGGCTTTTGTTTTGAGAAGTCTGAAATGCCAATTGGTTTTGTGGTGTGGCCACAATCTGCCAGGACTAGGCGCATGCACCCAGCTGCCAGAGGTCCCCTGCCTGCCCCTGCCCTCCCTCTTCTAAGTGCCAGGACACCACAGACTGGACTGATGCTGAAGACATCCCTTTTCTTTGGTTTTTTTGTTTGTTTTGAGTTTATACAATCATTAAGAAATCTTTGGTTTTGGCTGGAAAATTTAAAAAACAAAACAAAACAAAGAAACCACCCTCCCCTGGCTTATAGCAGCAGTATTATGACCTGGCTAGGATTCTGTTCAACTTTAAAGGTGGGAGCTGAAGGTTGAGAACTACATTCAAAGAAAAGGTGAAAGGGCAGGGGATGCAGCTTCTAGAGAGCCCGCTGGATATAAGATTGTCAAATAATAATATTAATAATAATAAACTTAAATATTTGAATTTTTTTTTTCTTTTTGGTCATGTCAAAGGAAAAAAGTGAAATGTATATGCAGCAGTCAGTTTAAAAGAGCCTTTGGTGTCTTCCCTTCTGCCCCAAGTTCTGCAGATACACAGAAGCCTGTGGCCTCCGAGAGGGCGGGGCAGGGGCAGCCCTGGAAGGCATCATGGCAGAGAGTGGATGTGATGAGATCTCTAACAACCCCTTTGCAACAGAAAGGAACAGAAGATTGCAATTTGCCCTCGGATTTGCAGTAGCTTTCAAGCAGTGACATTCGGAGGCTTCAGAAGGTCCCACCCTCGGCTACAGGTCTCAAGATGCTATAGGCCAGAGTTCAACAGTACAGAGAGGAGGGAGGGCAGACTTGGCAACTCTGTAGGGCTGAGAGGAAGCTAAAGCAAGTGACGCAGTCACGAGTTAGAAATGAGGTATACAACAGCTCCTGGACTTGTGGTGGGCAGGAAAACCCACGCTTACTCACCTAGCCCTCGCCACTACCACAGATGAGGGGGATGGGGACGTCTCCCTGCAGCAAGACCTCCTGTGGCCTGGGTAATGCACACTGCCCGTGCAAGCAGAGGTAAGAGGCTGCTACAAGTCTGTTCATCTCCTTACCCTTTGGTTCTCAGAAACGACCACTTTTTCTGTTGTAGAAGTCGGTATGAGAAAATGGTTGCAAAGTGTCATGATTCCTCCTTTCATTTCTCCACCCAGGCCGGAACGAGGCACTCCACTTAGGAGGTGACATGCTTCTGCACGTCACGCAGGAATGGAAAAAAAGCCATGGCTCCCCCCAGCCACACAAGACCTCGGTGTTACAGGTGCTGTCATTTCAGCTTCTGAAAGTGCATTTTATTTCCTCCTCTTTTCTTACACCTTGAGACAGTGTTAGGGCTGGATGGGAGTTGGCTCTGTTTTTTAAAACTGTTCTTAAGGAACTAAGTGGTCAGATGTCTCATATTTTTGAACAGCTCTGTACTCAGCTGTCTGCCTGCAGACTCGTATATAATGTTGGAGAGTTCACTGCTGCTGCCAATTTATGAAAGAAGCCTTAAGCTGCTTTTGTAAGGTTGTGGCCAACTAACACGATGATGAACAAGTAAACAAAGAAAACATGGGGAAACTTTGCAGCAGACCTCAATATTGTTTTATAGTAAGTTAGTTTGGGGGTCTTAACGTTCTGACAGTGTCCTGGGTAAGAACTAGAAAGTGGCACTGTGGGCAGACTCAGGGGCACAGGAAGAATCATCATTTTCTCTCCCCAGCTCCTGGAAGCTTTACTTCCAGGCTCAAACCCTTGTTCTTTACACACTCTTTGCTCTCCCATAGCCTTTGTTTCAAGTGCTCTTATCTTCACTATCCCTATCACCTACCTGTAAATCTACCTAATGCTTTGAAAAGTCACACAACATTAACACTACTTTTACATCATGTCAGAACGAAAAAATTATTAGGAAAGCTTTCATGAAGTTCTGCAACCTGATCATTTCTGATGGACTATTCAGAGAGCAATATATTGTTTTCCCTCTCTCCCTCTCTGTGTGCTATCAATACTACATCAAAACTACTCAATTTCTGAGAGGCTGTATTATAAAAATGTTTTAGAATAAACAGTTCTGTGGAAGAGTAAGGGAAAATCTTTTGGTTTTCCATGTAATCCTGCTCTTGAAAATGCTTCTTCAAGAGACAGAAACAGAGATGGCACATCTAAAATATTGTCTGAACTCAAAGAGGCTGTATTGGTTCTATTTGTAAGTACTGTACTAGATAAAGAAATAAAGAATTCTACCCCCATCTTTTGCATTTCTAAAATTTCTCAATTCCAAGAACATCACTGGTACACTTAGCAATTCTATCCATCTTTACAAAGCCAGCAGAGTGAAACAAAGTAAATCTCTTTGCCAAAGCCAGATAACCAACAAGACTTCTTTCAAAAAGTAGGGAAAGAGCAAAAGGAAAGGGAAAGAGAAGAAACAAGGCAAAGGTTTACTGAACTTCATCCTTTGCTCCTATTCCCTCTGCCTGTTTCGAAACTAAGGATAAAAAAATCACATAGCAATGTCTTTGGTATCCAAACCAAATCTCATGTAAGTTATATGAGATAGATCATTTATTTAAAACCAAAAAAGCCTTTTTGGAGATTCAGTCTTTATCAGAACTCTGGGAACCAAACAAAATCTGTCCCAGAGCAAGGGCAGAGAAGACTAAGTTCTTTTAAAACCAGCATCACTTCTCATTCACACTGCACCCAGAACAACAGCATCTTTTATCCTGCCAACCAACCAGTCCTTAAAGGCACACCTATCACAGGTGTGAAGTGAGCAGGCTAACTTTCAATTGCTTGATTTGGTTTCTCTTCTGTATGTGTTTTTGTTTTAGGCAGAACAAGTCTTGGTATTAAAAAAAGAAGGTTTTAAATGTTGGGCTACTAGCACAACATTCATTAACACAGGGTGACTAAAAGAGCTTGTTTCCTATTTTCCTACATTAAGCTACAATTACCTCTCCATTCCTCTCCAAATTAGTTGGTGCATATTTATTTCTGTCTCTACTTTTCATCTGCACATCCAGACATTTACACATTCGTCCTTTACCTAAGCTTTTGCTATATACACAGAGGTAATGAATCATTAGAAGAGGCTGCAGGTCTGGGGAACATGGGCAGCCATAGGAAGGGTTATAAATGTGCCCTTGGGACCCTGAACCTATTGGACACCCCACATATCACCTGCATGCCCCTACACACTGTGCTGCAGATCAGACCACAGAGGCCAATAAATCCGAAACTCAATCACAGGGGATTATCAAGTTTCCTTTGGCAAGACAGATATAAAGAAAAACACACACGAGCAACATTTTCCTTCTAACATAATCAACTTTTTTCTCCCCTACCCTGACCACCCTCCCTAACCCTATAAACTGTAACCTATAAACAGGATCCCAAATACATACAGCATCAATCAGATTTATCAATCATAATAAACGTTAGTTTAACTAAATACTACAGCTAGAATTATTTCCACTATTTATAATGTTTTAATTTTATTTATTTGGTTTTTAGTTTAAAACCAGTTCTGCAACAATGCTAAGCTATTCTGAGGTATTTTATGAAGGTGCCAGAAGCTAGCTGTTGCCCACCAGTATTATCCTCACAGAATAAGGTACCACCATTTAAAGAGAAAAAGGTATGAAGGAAAAGAGGGAGGGAGATCCAGATTGCAGAATCAATGTAAGAGTCACTGAAGTTTACTGCTTTTAGCCAAGGCCAAGGATAGAAGAACCAACTTAAGGAAATGATTCATGAAAAAGGATGATTAGAAGAAAGCTACAGTTCACAGATCATCCAAAAACTGCAAAGTGAACAACTGTTGAGAAATATGTTCCCTGCCCTCGTGGTAGGATCCTTTTAAGCCTTACCAGAAATTTCACCATGTCCCATTTAATCTCTTTGGACTAAGAAAATTATAATAGGATGTGTATAGGATTTTAATGATAGTTTTTTTGTTTGTTTTGGTTTTTTTCCGGTACCGGAAACCGAACTCATGACCTTGCACTTGCCAGGCAGGTGCTGCGCCGCTGAGCTAAATCCCCAGCCCCTAGGATTTTAATGATGAAAGCAATTTATTTATCCCATTTCTGTCCATGTGAACCTGATCTTATTTTTCTTAGAGGAATAGCACAAAATTGTTTTTTCTTCTTAAAATTGAAGATAGTATGAAGAAAGATTTACCATTTTATAGTGTCATCCTCAAAATGTTAGTGACTGGAAATGACTTCCGAACAGATAGTTATGAGAGCAATGTTACACACTAAATGCTTTACACACACACACACACACACACACACACACACGAACTCTTGATGGTTATGAACAAATTCATCTATCAATTCTGCCCACTTGGCTGATTCCAGGTCTTCAGTCTTTTTTGCTTATTAGTATTGGCAGTCTTGCACACATTTTTGGCTCTAAAGGAGTTTGAAGAATAAAGAAACCTGAAATTCATCGCGCTGAAATGCTGACTTAAGCGGGAAGTATTTGACAAACTCTCCTGAGGGACTGTGACTGCAGAGTGGACTCTAGGGTTCCTCGCTCCCCCTTCATTCCCAGCAGCTTTTCTTTCCTGGGGAGAAACGTAAGAAAGAAGCTTCTCCTCTGTCTCCCTTCTCAATGATCTTACTTCTTTCTAGGTCAAGAAAGATCTGTGAGGATGACCCATCTTGGGAGCAATGGCAAATTATGAACTACAGAGTTTCTCTGCAAGCCAAGTGTTCACTGCCTACTACTTGAAATGTTTTCTGCTGGGATTCCTAACCTTAAAAACTGACACAAATTCCTTATATTTGCAGGTGCATCTAGCTTTTCCAGAAAGTTAAACATAATTTTATAATAAAGAGTGGGTTGCATTTAAAAATTGTGTCAAACAAATATCTGTGCTTTCAGATCATATATTTTCCTCTTCCCAAATACATGAAGATTAATAGACAAACTAACATTAAAAAGAGGTATAACTGTGCTTTTCCCCCCAAGAACAAATGAAAAATTGGCAAGATGAGCTCACTAAAAATCTTTCAATGGATATTTTCCCTTTTAAAAATATTAATTTCTAATAATGCTACCATGAAGTGTAAACAGGTGTGGTTCTATGCAAAATGAAAGTTGAATTCCTTTGGTTCCATTCTTGAGTGACAAACTGAATAAATTGGGATGGTTTTGACCTTTCTGACAACAACTAAAAGGGAGTGTGTATAATATCACTTAATGGGTATAAGTAATTCTTTCTTAGTTTAAAAAGCTGCCTTTTGAACCTCAGAAACATTTCAACTAATACAGCTTATTTCAATTTATTTCCTTTAAACTCATTTCTTAGAATAATATTATTTCTGTGAGAAGCCCTTTTTTAGATCTTTCTGTTCTGTTTTTCAGATTTATATAGGGTATAAATAAAGTTCATGACCAAACTGCATCGCTTATGCTAAGCAGGGTTTATAATTACATTCACTACTCCCTTAGGAGGGCCCATTATCATGGGCAAATACAGTATTACTATAAATGCATTTAAAATTAGTCTTTGGCTTAACATGTGTTAACCAAATTCAGGGAGGAAATAAAACTTGCATAAACACTAATGGTAAGAAAAAAAGAAAGTAACAAGAACTGTAACAACTACCTGGCCTTTCTTCCAAATATAAGGACTCTACCAAAGAACTCTTTTTGGTCAAATGACCCCTTGAGTTTCCACACTCCCCTCTAACAGGTGGCTGAAAGTTAGGTCTGAGTACCTTAGCTTAGGAGATAGTTCATTCAATTCAAAAAGTATTTCTCAAGATGATAAAAAAAAAAAAAAAAAAAAAAAGACTAAGGCGTTCATGAAGCAAGTACGATTAGCAGAGTATCTAGGGCTAATGATTGGGAGCTGATGTGAAACTAAGCCCCCACCAACAAGCTATATTAGTGTTTCATGTGTGAAAAAGTACCTTCCATTCCATAACTTACTTTTAAGTATGTAAAATAAGAGAAAAAATTTAAAGTTACCTCTACAGGTCTAATTGTTCTTTTCAATACAGATTGTTAAGCTAGCTTAAGATCTACCCTCATCTAGTGATCTGCATAAAGAAAGGCACAGTCCCCTTAGAGGAGACTGGAGACCACATATAGACATGGTGGGGACTGAAAGACTATTAAGCTGATGTTTAAAGCTTAATATTTTCTTTAATACTAAAGTCTGTTGGTGAATATTATTTGGGAGAGTCATCATTTTTTTAATCACAGAAAACAAAACCAAAAATACCTTTCCTTGTCTTTCCTTTTAACTCACTGGGCTAGAGTCCCTTGGGGCCTCACACTTCCTTTGGTAGCAATTTGGGGAAATTAATGCTATAACCTCTAATCCAATGTGGTAGGTATCAGCATTTCCCTCCCTGAATCCTTCCTCTTAACTTCCATACTCCTATTGGAGGGACTCTTTACTACAGGTAGCTACAGCATTATCTGTAGCCCTAAAATCATCTGCACAGACTAAAGTTAGAGACATCAAGTCATGGTAAAAGATCACCTTTAACTATGAAAGAGAAAAAGCTGATGGAGAGGAGAAAAATTAGTAACTGACACTGCCATTCTATTTACACACAACCTAAATAAAATAGTTAAAAATCAAGGTAATGTCTGCCCAGAGGATACTACAATTTATCAACACAAAAGATTAAAAACAAGCAGCAACTTTTATATAAAATTAATAAAGACAAATGAAAAAGAAATTGTCAGTAGCATCTATCTCCTCAATGTGTCTGAACTGCACGTTATAAACTAGTCCATTAGTACAGCAGCTTGCTAAAATTTGACTTTGGTTCAAGCTTAGTTTAAAAATAAAAACATTAAAAAAAAAAAAAAAACCACCACCACACACCACACAAAAACAGGTGGATGGACATCTGTTAGTTTCCCTGCTTGCAGTTCACTGATTTTAGAGGGATCTGAGGGAGAGTAAAGGGTATGAAGAGGAAATTGGGAGGGAGGGAATAATTAAATACTTTGAGAAGTAAAACAAGGCAGAGGGAACTAAACAAAAATTTAAAAGGGGACTAAAATGTTTCTGACCTTTAATATTAATATGACTGTTTCCCACTTGAATCACAAACAAAGGTACACATTCGTGTATTAGTGTCTTTCTCAACAGTGGTCAAGAGAGACAAATAGACGAATCTCAGCTCTCTTGTGGACACAAGCAAAGCAATTAAAAGGAAAGTCACCTGTTAGCTCTCTCTTAACCCCCAGCACAAAAGGGGGACAAAGTGCAGTCTTGGGACCACTGGAAATCGAACACTAGACACCAAATAGGAACCTGTAACTCCACTCTGAAGGGGAATGTAGATAAACTACATTGCAGTGGTCCAGTCTCTTGGGGAAATTTTTGGTATAGATACTATAATAATTGTACATTGGCAAGAAGGGGAATTTAATCTTTAAATTATCCTCATTCCCCTTTATCCGTTTCACAAGCTCTTTCTTTTCAGTGGGCTCATTTATGTAGTCTAGAAACACCCTGAAAACAGTAACAGGAGCCAGTCACTGTCTAAATTGAATAAAGGGATATGTACTGTCATCAGACCTACCTAGCAGGAGCATCCCAGATGACAAGGTGTGTGCAAAGTTCCTGCTCAGCCTTTCTGTAAAAGTTCTACAGACCCCAGTACAGCCCGGCCAATAAGTGCCTCTGTTAGAGAATAGAGGAGAATCTCAGGGTTTGAGTAAGTTATAAGCCACCTAGGGGGCATAAGTCTGTGGCTCTCTAGAGGAAAAGGTGGCAACCTCAGATTCTTTTCCTCAACCTCTTCTGGACATGTAGTTGATGGGAAATACTCTAGTAGAATTTCTTCAGAAAACAAAAGGGAAATGTTTCACAATTTCAATAGGTCAGTTTGTTCTCTGCCAAGTAAGTCAAAGTTTGGATGAAGACTTCCATAAAATGGGACACACAAACACATATATCAACAGTAGGAGCATTTTTCAGGAGATAAGAAATCAGGAGAACCACCAAGTCAGGTGTCTGCAGTAGTCTTCAGAACCAAACCCTGCCCTGCAACATGTGCAGCTATTCCTGTTCAAAGTAGCAGAAAGCAGCACTGTTGCACCACAGGACTTGGGCCTCAGGGCCATTCCATGATTTGGGGTGAGTGAGAGCTACAGTTCAGCAGGAATTCCTTCCTACACAAAAGTGCTCCAAAGGCACCACCTGATGGGGGAGGGGCGTGTGTGAAGTAGGAGTGTTTGCACACACTGCCTTCAGCTTCTGCACCAAGCCTCTTGCATAAGTGGCAAAAGAAAATAATTTTCTAGCACCTCTGTAAGAGTCATCAAGGATAAGGAAACCAGCAAGAACATTCCCCGCAGTTAAGAACGTTAAGTCTCCCCTTACCCCAAAACCCTCCCTCCCCACAGTGTGGGAGCTCACTGAAATAGGATCCAGGAGCGAGAGATAAACATGTCCAAACTCTATATATATATATAAAAACAATAATAACAACAACAATAACAGAGATACAGTAATACAGGCCTGCCTAAATTGTACCAGTTAAGAAAGGAACCCCCAACACAATTGATACGATTATAAACACCTTGTTATGACTTAATGGCCTGTACAACAGACCCATAAAAATGATTTTTTTTTTAAGAAAAAAGAAATTTAGACAAACAAGAAATCCCCTTCCTATATTGGAATTGGTAACCCACCTTGTCATCATGACTGCTGGAAATGATACGTAGTCCTTTCACTTGTTTTTGATTTTTTTGTTTCTGTTTTTTTTTTTTTTTAATTTTTGGTTAGAAAGTTCTCCAGTCCATGAAGCAATCCTGAAAAGACAGTGTTTTATTATAAAATTAGGCAAATGTTATCTGTCTCTGTTTTTTCTGGTATGTGTATCCTTCTTCTCTCTTTGTCTCCTTGCCCTCACAACACGGTGAGAGGAAGCCGGTAACATTTTCAGTGTACTAACTGGCTGGCAGCCTGATCCCGCTGCAGAGTGACAAAGGCTCTGTGCCCAGCTCACTGCGCCTTGGAGGCGGTGGTGGTGGTGGACGCAGCCCCACTGGCAGAGGCCACCGTGAAGAGAGAGTTCTGCATGGACTCCGCGGAGGTGGAGGTGGCATGAAGGCTGGCGACAGGTGCTGAGTTCCCTGTGGAGGCGGCAGCAGCAGAAACCAAGCTAACCGGGTTGCTGGTGAGCAGAGAGAGGTTCTGAGGGTTCAGGAACAGAGGGGCAGTCACGATGTTGGGGGCACCTCCAGCATTGGCGAACACCAGGTTCCCAGTTGCATCCAGTGACGTTATTGGAAGAGAGCCACCGGAAGCAAGAGCTACAGGTGAGACCCAAGAAACAGGCAGGAAGGAGAAGGTCAGCATCATCCTGGAGCAGTCAGATGACATGTCATCAAAGTCCTACTGAGTTTCCTGCAACTCTTGCATAAGAGCAAAAGAAAACACCTTCCTAGCACCTCTGTAAGAGCCATCAAGGATAAAGAAACCAGCAAGAATATTCCCCGCAGATAAGAACTTTATGTCTTCCCTCATGCCAAGGAAGAAGTGTAGTCATTCACTAGTTCTTCCTCAACAGCAGTGCTACAATGGTACCAACTGAAGTCTGTTTATAATTATGAGGAGCAGAAAGGATTGAAAAATCTAATGAATATGACAAGGGTAAGCTAAAGAGAGTCACAAAAACTAAGGAGCTAGTCATTCTTCTATCTCTAAATTTTAAGTTTATTTCATTTACCTAGAAGCATTTGTTAAATCCAGCAATTTTGTCTCCAATGAAGATTGATTTTAAACCACCTCTGTTTAAAAAACAAACTAGTTCAGTGATTAAAGCAGTCAGAGTATATTTTGCTCTTATCAAACCAATTGGCATTACTGATAAATTTGAGCAAACTCTTTATACAATATAAAAATCTTATTTCCAAACAGCTTTAGTTGTAAGTTACAAATCACCATATAAAGTAAAAGGTGTGATTAATTTTTTACTTCAAGAGGCAAAACATTTGACTTCCAGGATTTGTGCAAAGGAGAAGGATGAGTTCAATGTAAAAGAAAATCAGGGACATGATGACGTAGGTGGCCCTCAGTGGGTGATTAGGGCTAGGCCTTGGCTTCATGATAGAGAACTTTTCCCTGAAGTCATTCATTGCTTTCCCACTGTAGCTATGGTTAAACCTTTTAAAAAGTGATCAGTCCTTTTACTCTCTCAAATCCTCCCACAAAAATAACCTCACTCTCACATGTGGATTTGCAGATTTTTGAATGGCATTAAAATCTGGTTGATTTCTTACAGAATACCTAGCTGGAGGGAATGCTTCTGATTTTAGATGAGATCATGGAAACAATATACAACAATGAGATTTGGTATAGCTTGATGTTTTGAGAGTCTAGGCTCAGGGTGAGAGACTAATTCTATACTTCTCAGAGAGTATTCAATTCACCTCTGATTTGGCTAATCAGAAAACCAATGTAACTAAGGCAACCTAGGCCATGATTTGGTTTTCTCTTTAATACAACATTTTCTATAGTATGCTGTTAGATACACTAATCTCAAATGAATTTGGCTAACAGATTAGTTTTGGCTCCAAGCACTCTTACTTAAGCACAAAATATTTTAAGAAAAAATGCTGATTAATAGTGATGTTTCCCTGAATAATTATTTTCCTGAGTCACACAATAGCAAGCATCTTCAGATACAAGCTTAGAAGCTTAGCATGGTAAACCCTTCATTACACGCAGCTGTCCTGAGTAACACGGAAAAGCCAACTGGAACCCAAATGGGCTCGGAAGACACATTATAATCCAAGAGGAATCTATGCTCTACACAGATGGGGATACAAAAGGGCAGAGTCTAAGTAGAATTAAAGATATCTGCAAAATCTGCCTGATGTCCTCTACTGTCCACTTATTATAGGACTTTCCTATCCACAGTGATCTTAGAGATGGGGATGGGGACTGAGGATCTTACTTGGTCAAGTCTGGCTTTAGAGAGGTTTTGGATGAGTATGTGGACAAACAATCTGGAGGAAAAAATTCGGCCTCAAAAATCTATTCATGGAAGAAGATAAACATCATACAGAAGTCCTGTCTTCTTATCTTTTGTAGATGAATACCTATACTTTTCTTTTACAAAGCTTTTAAAAATGAGAACATTTTCCTGGTCTTCAAGAACAAGTTAAAGTTTGTTAGCATTCAACTATCTTTCCCCATCATCTTCAGCTTAAGCAGAGCAGTCTTCCTCCATTATACACACATAGCAAGCGAAAGCAAGGTACTGACCTTGAATAGTTGCCAGTGTACTGTTACTCATCAGAGCGGGGCTGAGAGCACTGCCCAGGGTCCCTGGATTGAGACTGAGTAAGGCACCTCTGCAAGTTCAAAAGAAGGGTCATGTTATGACTGTGCAGACACACCTGTCAGCTTGACAACACCCCCAAAGGAAGAAAGAAAAGAAAACTCTAGGAAGTATTTAGGAATCTTTGGTATCTTCCCTCTACCTTTATATGGTTAGTTTAGTGCTTCTGCTTTAGTGCTTGCTGGATGCTTACTTGTACATAAAATGTAAAACTTACAGTCATTTTGATTCTTTGACTTCATGCTCTTAAAAAGAACCCTCCAGAGAAAAAAGATAATTCTTATGTATGACAATAATATAAAATTGGGAATCTCCTTTCTACACCTCTTATCCAGGTTTGAGAATTTGAAAGCAGATAGCGTTTAATGCAGAAAGTATAAGAGTCAGGAATTCTGGGCTTTCTCTGTTCCCATCACTGAAGTGACTCAGTGACCTGGCGTTGCATGTCTTCACATGGAAGTAAGTGTGACTGCTGCCCTTCCCAGAGTGCTCCAAACCTTAGGTTCAACTCTGTGATCAAGGTCCTTGCACAACCACAGAGCAGCCTGTTTCAAAGAGATTCTTAAAGACATTTTTTCTCTTTTAAAACAAGATGAGTAATTCCAAGGATGACTTCCTCATTGCTTCTGAGATGAGGAGATGGGAAGGTTCCTTACCCAGCTGCAAACTGCGAGGGTGCCATCAGGCCTGGGCTGAGTCCTGCAGCAGCAGCCATGGCAGCAAGACTGGCATTTGCTGGCAACTGTGCAGCTCCTTGGAGAGCGGCGGCGGCTGCTGTTTGCAAGCCTGATGCTGTCACCATCACCTGGCTGGTCCCAAGAGGGGAGGACAGTGGAGTAGAGGTGGTCTGGGTTGTGCTGGTCTCACTGGCACTGGATGCCTCAGAGGTGGAAGCGGAGGCAGAAGGGGAAGGACTCAGAGAGGGGCTTGTGACTGCTGAGGAAGCCGGAGGGGCTGTGGAAATCACGGTGGCTGTGTTGTTGGACGTGGTGTCTGTAGTGCCTGGAAAGAGAACTGGATTAGAAAATGACCTCTGTAAAAGTCTTTGGAGAATGGTGGCTTATTCAGCTATCCTCTAGACTCAATGGAATAATTAAATCCATCATCCAGGAATCCTCAGTTTGCCCTTCTTAAATTAACCCAATTTAATGTTTGTATGAATCCTACTGTAAGATACAAGAAGAATAATATAACTATGAAAGAAACAATAGTTTTCCAATGTCAATTTCCTATTAAAAACAAAACAATCAGAGAAGCTCTAATTATGGGATACAAATGCTCTGGTGAAGAAACAAGCAAAAAAAGAAAGCTTTTGGAAACCCCATTTTCATTCAGCAATCTTTTTGGCAGTCTCCACCAAAAAAAAACCAAAAAAACAAGGAAAGAGAAACAGAATTCTATGCTTTTCTAAGAATAAATGTCAACAAGATACTAGAAATAATATAAAAATGACTAAAGGTATATGTCTAGATGCATTCTTTATATTAAAATTCAGTTCTTTTATAATGAAAATTAGCTTTCTAAAGAGCCTGCTTACTAAATATTCTCTCACTCATGAAAATAACCACATGCGGGCTGGGGATTTAGCTCAGCGGCAAAGCGCCTGCCTGGCAAGCGCAAGGTCGTGAGTTCGGTTCCCGGTACCGGAGAAAAAAAAACAAAAAAAAAACAAAAAAAAAAAGAAAATAACCACATGCAATGATAATATGAATCTCATATAATGTAACAGGAAAAATGAGTATCTAACAAGTTATTATGTGAGAGGCCTTTAAAAAATCATGTTACTTGGATTTCTTTTTGTCTAAAGAACAAATATTTGGATATAAATGACTGACACTAAAATACCATTAAAACATATTCACTGGGATTAAGTTTGAGATCAGCTTTGTCCATGACAAATACAGTACATATAATTTGAAATATTCCAGTAATCCCACGGAAAATAGTAAAAAGAAACAGGTGAAATTAATTCCAGTAATATATTCATAACCCAGCATTACCAAAATATTACTGAGATAAAATCAATAGTATTAATCTTTATCTGAGAGTGGGATGCATTTTATAATTCCAGCACTTGTGAATTTGAACAAGCCACGTTTTAGGTACTCAACGCCACCTGTGGCCAGTGGATGCCATATTGGATACCACAGACTTAAAAAACGACTGAATGGGGGCTGGGGATTTAGCTCAGCGGCAAAAGCGCCTGCCTGGCAAGCGCAAGGTCGTGAGTTCGGTTCCTGGTACCGGAGAAAAACCAAAACCAAAACCAAAAAAAAACCAAAAAACAAAAAAACAAAAAACGCCTGAATGTTAGTGAATTGTGTTCTAGAGCCAAGTGTGATTTAAAGACTACTGCCGCTCTGTCCAGGGTAGGAGTGGCTCATAAGGCTCACAGGAAAGGTTAGTATCTTTCCACAAGGCAGAATATGCCAACTGACTCAGAGAGCTCTAATTCTGATGCTGTCTGTATAACAAAAGTACTGTATATAATAGGTCCTCCTATTTCAGTTGTCAGTGAATGCTACAGTACAGAAGCAGGCTTTCTAAAGCTAGCCAGCACTTAATTTAGTGAAGCTCAGCATATTTTACAATATAATCAGTCATATACATGTATAAAGCAGAAGTATTTTCTTAGGATGACTCAAAAAGAGAAACATCTATAAATTTTCAATATAATAATTCTGTGGTATAAATCACCTGCAATTATTATAAAATAACCAGATCAAAATATATATCTCAAACCTAAGAGATACTGGAAAAATCTTACGCAGTTTTTTTTGTGTGTGTGTGTATGTGGCACTTAGGGTTGGATCCAACTCTTTACATTGAGCTACACCTTTCACCCTTTTTAATTTTGAGACAAGGTCTCACTAAGTCAGAGTTGCACAAGCTAAGTTTGAACTTGCACTCTTTCTGCTTCAGCCTCCTAGAGTCTCTGATTCAGGTGTGTGCTACCACACATGGTTGACATATTTTTTAATGATAAAATCTATTACTAAGCTGCAGAAGACTCTGCTTTTGTAACTGCCTTATGACAACTTCTGGTAGTTTTCTTTCTAAAATCTATTTTGAATCTGGTCTACAATCAGGACATCTTCCAGTCAAGTTTCTTTTCATTTCTACTCTCCAACTTACATACTATCTGTGTTAAAAATAATTCTGAGTTCCCCTCCTAACGCCACAGAAAAGAGGCTATGTGGTATCTCATTGAACGAGGGAAGCACATTCTTTTTATTGTCAAGTGAAAAGGAAGGACTCACTTCTTCTGCCCTTCTAAAAAATATAAACAAGATGATTTCTTCTAATTGCAGCTGGCCCTAAATACAATTACACCTTTGGATACTGTTAATCCCATTTCCATTCATTATTTCCTCAGTTCTAAATCTATCAGAACAATCCCTGTCATGGGGCACCTGAGGCTGCAGTTGCTCTTGTTTGACAGACTTCTGTATACATGTGTATGCTCTTAAGAGGAGGCCCTTTTCCTGTAGGAGGATTTCTTATTTCCCTTCTATTGCTAAGAAATTTCACTGTACGTCCAATCTTTTCTTGACCAACTTCTCACCTTATCAAACTTAATTTTACCTGAATTCTGAAATGGCCCTATTTCCAAAGATCTCATGTCTTGGGGCTAAAAGCTTAAAATGGTTGTTTTCTTTCCTCGCCAGTGCCACTTTCAAATAATTCAGAATCTCTTCCTTTAAATCCTGTAGGTTTATAAATCTTATCAGTGAATTCAACTTGGGCTAGGAGGTGATGACTCCAGAAACTATTCAAGGTATTTTTTTCTGATTATAATACTCTAACCACATTCTAGGTGTCTCCTATTTGAATGTCATATGAGCACTATATAACAATAAAACAGGATGATTAAATCAATTCTCCCCGTGAGTCACTCATCTATCTATCTTATCTATCTATCTATCTATCTATCTATCTATCTATCTATCTATCTATCTATTTTCTATGACCTTAAATTCTTGGTAACTTAATTCCTTGGGCAATTACGTTTTTTGATCAGAACTTGGGCTTGCTGAGCCTCAGTATCCTTAACAATGAAGATGTCACCACCGAGCTTACAGGTTAGGAGGAAGTTAGATCTGAGCACAGGTGAGTGTCTAGTGACTTCTCTTGGTTCCCATCCTGTCTGCTTATAGTGGCTTTATTGAAGTATCATGTGCCATAAAATCCATCCAATTTACGTGTAAAATTCAATGATTTTTAAATCACGTTTGAGTTGTAGAACCACACCACAATCCAGCCTCGTTGTGTCTGTTTGCCATTACTTGCCACTCCTACTCACTCATCTGCTTTCTGAAATCTCTATAGATTTTTTTTTTTTGAATTAGTGGTATTGGGTTTTGAACTCAGGGCCTGCCCACTGAACTCCATCCCCAGCCTTCCTGCTTTCTCCCTCCTCTCTCTCTCTCTCTCTCCTTCCTTTTATTCCTTTTTCAGTTTTGAAACAGTGTTTGCCTAAATTGCCCAGGCTGGGCTTGAATTTGTGATCCTCTTGCCTCAGTCTCCAAGAGTGCTTAGATTACAGGTGTTATCTGGCTAGATTAAAAATTTTTTTTTTTTACATAAATGGAACCAAACAACATGTAGTCTTTTGTACCTGGCTTCCTTTACTAAGGTGTATCCATGTTGAAACAGAAATCAACACTTCATTACTTTTTATTTGGTCGAATAATATTCTACTGTGCAGATATATCACATTTCATTCATTCACCAATTGATGGGCACTGGCTTCTTTACAAGTTGTCTGCTATAAATAATGCTGCTTATATGAACATTAATGTAAAAATTGTTGTGTGAATGTTTTCACTTGGGGCAAATTACCTGACAGGATGGCAAATTTATGTTTCATTTGCAAATAAACTTCTGAAGTTTTTCCCAAAGTGGTTAATATCATTTATATTCTCACACATGATGGAATATCAATTCCAGTGTTTCCACTTCCTCCCCAACACTTCTGGTCATTTTTGATCAGAGCCATTCAAGTGAATAAAACTGGTATCTCATTGTAGTTTTAATTTGAATTTCTCAGAGTAATGAAGTTGAACATCTTTTCATGTGTTCATCAGTCACTCATATCACTTCTCAGCCTTCTGGCTAAGATCAGGTGAAGTCACACTTTTTTTTTTAAAATGTGTACTTAAGTCCTTTGTTCATTTAAAAAGCTGGGGTGTTTATATTTTTACTGTTGAGCTGTACAGTCTTTATGCATTCTATATACAATTCCTTTATTGGATACATGATCTGCAAGTGTTTTCTCGAGTCTTTGGCTTGTGTTTTCATCTTAAAGGTGTGTCCTCCAGTACAAAAGATTTTACTTTTGACAAAGCTCAATATTTTTGTTCTTTTATGCATTGTGCTTTCTTTTGGTGGTGCATCTTTGTGAACTCTGCCTAATCTAAAGTCATGAAGACTTTTCTCCTACAAGTTTTATAGTTTTTAGCTCTTATATTTAGGTCTCTGATTCACTTTAGTTAATTTTGTGCATGGTATGAGGTTAGGCTCTAAACTGATCTTTGTGTATATAATCAGACTAGAATTATTTATTGAAGACTTCTTGCTATTGAACTGTCTTACACGTTTGCTCAACAGAGCATAAATTTAAAGGTTGGTTTGTGGACTTTCATTTTTGTTCCATTTATTCTAACATTATGCCTGCATTATACTGTTTTGACTATTGTATCTTTGTAGTAAGCTTTGAAAAATGGAGGTACTTGTCCTAAAATTTCATTATTTTCAAAACTGTTCTTGCTGTACTAGATTGCTTTAATATATTTTAAAATTTTATCAATTTCTTAAAAAAAAAACAACCCAAAATCTGTTGGAACTATGATGCTGATTGTGTTTGATCTATAAATCAAGTTGGAGTAAGCTGAAGAATGCCAAGTATGGAGGGGAAGTAGAAAGGATCAAGATGTGACATGTGTGTGTACCAATATTCCAGATTAATGTATTCACTATGTATTGCAAACATACATTAAAACATTAAAGGAAAAGAATAGTGAATCTCCCAAACCATCAACATGGAATATAAAATGTCTGTGTTTACTTAGACTTTCTTTCAGCAAACTGTAGTTTTTACTATATAAGTGTTCACTTCCTTTGTTAAACTTGTTTATAAATATTTTATTCTTTTGGAGCTATGATGTATAAATTATTTTCTTAACTTTATTTTTGGACTATCCACTACTGAATTTACTGATTAATTCTTGTAGTTTTTTGTGGATTCCTTGGGATTTTCACACACATAGGATAATGCAAATAAAGGCAGTTTTAACTTTTGTTCTCCCTTAAGAAACTGGTCATTTCCTCCAGTACAATGTTAATCAGAAATCTCAAAAGCAGACATTCTTGCTTTGTTTCCAAATCTTGGAGGCAAGCGGAGAGGAGTGAAGAGCACTCAGTCCTTCACTAAGTATGCTGTTGGCTCCAGGTCTGAGAATCTTATCATGTGTGACTTTTGTATTCTGTCAAGTATCTTTTCTCTGTGTATGGAGGTGATCATGTGTATCTTGTCCTTTCTTCTATTACCTAGTGTTTTATGTTAATTGGTGTTCAGATAGTAAACCAAGTGTACATTTTGAGAATGAATTCCCCTTTTTCATATATTGCCAAGTTTGATTTGCTCAGATTTTGCTGAGGGTTTTTGTACATGTTTTCATGGAGGATATGAGTATAATTTTTTCTTGTGATATGTTTATTTAGCTTTGGTATCAGGGTAACATTGGCCTTTAGAAAGCAAACTAAACTAAACTAAACTGAACTGAACTGAACGGAACTGAACTAAGCCAAGCCAAGCCAAGCCAAGCCAAGCCAAGCCAAGCCAATCTCTCTTCCTCTTTTCCAGAAGAGACTGGTAAGGTGAATGCCCATGTGAACTTAAAAAAATGTGTTTTCACATTCAGAGATTAGTGTTGATAAAACCTTATATATCTTTGACAACAAGTAGGTATATAGTTCAAATTAATAACTGAAAATGGATTATTAACATTTCCAACTATCATTCTGAATTACTTATTTCTCCTTTTAATTCTGTTCATTTTTGCTTCCCATATCTTGAATCTTTGTTGTTATGCGACTAAATAATTGTAATTGTTCCATCTTTCTATGGAATAAACTTGTTTATTATTAGGCAACATTTTGGAAAAAGAACTAGAGTGCATTTAGCTGGGATTATAAAAGAATATGGAATTTCTATACGGTTTTGCAACATATCAGACACATGTTTCTGGAGAAGTCAGGATAACTTTTTTATTGATTCTAGAAGTGTATCAAGGACCTTTTATGTGCCAAGTGCTATGGAAAATAAAGATGACTATATCGAGATTTTTCTTTAAAAAAAAAAGAGACTGAGGATATGGTTTTTCCCCTTTATTTCTAAAATCCAATTCCAAATGATAGTAAATAAACAAAAGAGGAAATACGAGCTCTGTGGACAGATTTCAGACATAAGATTTTTACTAGAAACTGTATGTCTATTTTATGGAAGGGAAAAGTCTGTAGTTTTCAAATTCTCAAAGATGCCTAACACTTAGGTCAAGAAGTGCTGTTTAAAATAAATAAAAATTATAAAATTTTCTAGTAACAAAAATGTAATACAATATAAAGCCCTTTACTGAATTTTTACAACATACTTAGAGTTGAAGAGTTATTATAAAATTAACTACGAGTAAAGAAAATCAAGTCTCCAATTCTAGGTTAAATCAAATTTGATTTTGAAATATCACAAAGCCACTCAATGCCTTACAAGCATATAATCAACATTATGAATTAATTTTCAGCATATTGTACTATATATTTTGCATAACTAGAAACACATAACAAAGTGCTATAAATCATCTTAAATTATTGGAAAATTTGCTATTTAAAGGAGGCCAAAGGAAAAAAGACTGACTTCTTCAATAATTATTTATTGTTTAGTGTGTTAGGCACTAAGATAGGTATCAAAATGAACACAGTATATAGATCTTTTGAGAAGTACAAAGCCCTTGGGAAAGACAGATTTATAAAAATATACTTATAATACAGATAGATAGGAATGAACAACTTCCTGGGGAAGCTAAACAATGTTTCCAGAAGGAACTGATATATATGCTGGAGTAGTTTATCAACATCAGACCAAGAACTGCAGGCTACAATGGATGACATCTCAAGATGTAGGAAGGGTTACAAAGGCATGGATGGAGTTTCCTATGGGTTGTGGGGGTTGGTGAGCAAAGGTCCGGAGTGGCAATAAACTTTGAGGTGATAAACCTGATGATTTCCTGAGTGCAAGAAGCTGCAGCTACTAAAACTGTAAGGGAAGGAGTTACTTAAAAATTTGTGCATTTGAAATATCTCTAGGTCTACTAACATGGGAAAGTACAAAAGAGGTAAGAAAGCAGAGTGTGGTGGCAGACAACTATAATCCTAGCAGAGTCTGAAGCCAGCCTGGGCAACTCAGTAAAACCCTATCTCAAAATATGAGATTAGAGATAGAGATAGAGATAGAGATAGAGACAGAGATTGAGATAGAGATAGAGATTGAGATAGATTGAAAGAGAGAGATAAAGGGAATATTCTTGGGTGAAAGAATCTTTTCTGACAAAATCATGCTTGATATTTTTTGAAGTTCAGATTATCATACATAACTTAAAAAAACACAGACATCTTTTGTTAGGGCTAAGTCACAATTTAATGGCAGATTCACACAGAAACTTTAGAGGCCTATCATGTACTTAATAGCCACATGCCTTGGGACTGCTCACCTGTAACAGAGAGATTAGTCACTGCAGCGCTGGTTAGGGGGAGGACAGGGTTGACTGTGAGAGTAGCTGCTGTACTGCTTGTCACAAGGCTTGGCGTGGTTGCCACCTAGAGGTCAGACATGAAAACATGAACAAAACCCTTAAAATCAAAACTCGAAACATCTTGTAACTACTTCAATAACGGAAAGTCAGACACACTCTATGTCAGTGTATACTATTATCAACTTTACCTAAACAGAAAAACTATCTGACAGGATCTGGGCATGGTGGTGGTGGTATCTTATGTTGCTTTTAACTTTTCATTTTGGTGGGAGCAAGACTGATTTGTTTTTGTTTTTAATGAAATGGTATTACAGGAAGATTGCAAAGCAAATTTTTTAAAAACTCAAATTTCTTTTTGAAATAAAAAATTTTGTCTAGTTTTCTAAGAAGTACTGCTTCTTTTCCTAGTACAAATAAATCTGAAACACAAAAAAGTTACACACAAGAAACTCTTATGTAGTGATCATCTTTTTTATACCTACTATCTCATCAACTTCATAATTAAAGCTCCATCATTTAACCACAGGCTTCTCTTGACTGATATGTACTTTTAATGCTGACTTTAGCTTTTAAAGCCTTCACTGGAAAGATGTTCAAAATGGAATAAAAATAAATTAATAAAAAAGGAACTGAAATGAAAACCTGCCATCTCTTGAAACTTGGTGGGCACAGGAGCAGTTACATTTACAATCATCCTAAAAGTCAAGGGAGTTACTTAGCACTACCTGTCCCTGTGACTCAACAAGGACACGAATATATGAAAGGGACTGTTGTTTAGCATGAGGATCTAAGATGATCATTTTAACATAATGAGAGCTAAAGATTCTCTGAGAATTAACTGTCAATAATGTTTAATAAATAAGGCTTTAGACCTCAGATGAGTAAAGAGTCACTAAGGGGTTTTCTGGACTTACTATCAGTTACTGAAGAACTTAATAAACCATACAAGAGAATAGAATGGTGGAAGCGCAATAAAACAAGAAAGAATTAAAGTTGTTACTCTAAATTTATTCAGTATGAATGTTGTATACATATGATAAATTCTTGGTAGGAAAAAAATGATTTTGTAGGCCATTTGTAAAATTGCAATAATTAGCCTGAGGCTTCCATTCTTACCAGTGAGGTTGGGCTGGGGAAAATTGCTTTGATAGGTGAGCTGCTGGTCCCACCACTACTTGGTGGGTTGATTCTTTTTTCCTTCTGGCGTCGGTTACAAAACCAAACACGAATCACCTCTTTTTCCATATTGAGCTGTTCAGCAATCAAGGTGATCTCTTCTGAGGTAGGCTTTTGATTCTAAAGAGGGGAAAAACATCTTTTGTAATAACTTTTGAACAACTGATATAAATGAAAGCAGCAGACAAGTCAGAAAATAAAGCTGTGATATATATGACCACATTAGGCCATTTCAACAGACAGCTTCTGTAGATATTCACTCTACTGGACATGGTTGTGTTTACTATACTTATTCTAAGTTATTTCTGAAAATTTTACATTTTTAGGTCTGTTAATCTTGAACAAAATTAATAAAATACCTATGCAAATTTTTTTTTTTGGTACCAGGAATCAAACTTGGGACCTTGTACTTGCCAGGCAGGCACTTGTGCCACTGAGCTATAGCCCCGGCCCTTTATTTATTTTATTTTATTTTAATTAATTTATTTTTGTAATCTTATATACTAGCAGGACTTTTGCAGTTTTCTCAGTACATTATGCACACTGACCAACTTGACTTTATGGTACTCCCCTGAGTCAGGAGAGGCAGGTATCTCACAGATGTGGGGACTTCAGTTTTAAGAAAGCAAGTGACTTCCCTATTACACAGTTAACAGGAGGCAGTGCCGAGGAAGAGTGCTGACTGAGTGATCCTTGCAGTACACTCAAACTTTTTCTGAATTAGAGAAGTCAAAATTCTGTTGGAAGCTTTGATTACAACATCCCCTGGTTAAAACAAAAAACAAAAGACAACTTGCTGAACATCTGTTGAACTAATTGGGATTCCACAGCCCGACAGTCAAGGTACCCAGTGTTCTGGCCCCAAGCTACCATTCTAGAGCAGATACCAAATTTGGCCAACTAGACTACTAATGTTTGAACTGCTAGAGCTTATGGCTTCCCCAGAGGACTCTGACAGGGAATTCTGCTTGAAGTGTTTTTCTCCTACCTTTTCCAATCTGTAGAATGAATTTCTATATATCATACGGACACCATTACCTCTTTCACACCAAATGCTTGAGTGGATGCAAACAAGGTCTGTTCTGAGCCCCTTCCAACTCTGTCTCCTTTGCCAGTAACTTGCTGTTGTATTTTTTTCATTATATTCAGGCGTTCATAAAGGCAGAGACTGACAAGTTCATCTTTCATCATCCACAGTTCCCAATACCAGTATCATGGCCAAACCTATGCACATGCTAAGTAAATACCTAACTGACCTCCAAGAAACTCTTCTCTAAGGCCGCACGGATGTTGGTCTCTATGCTGGTGCGTTTCTTCCTCCTACGATTCAAACCCTCCACTCCCTGCCCTGGAGAATTCAGGGCACTTGGGCTGGAGACAGACGAATCAGATGAGAGGTTCTCTGTAGGAATGAAGAAAGCAAAATTAAAATGAGCTGAGCCTAATGATTCACGTAAACAAAACATATATTAATACCAACAATAAAACTGACAAACTATTTTAAGCTATACAAAAGTGTGAAAAGATTTTCAAATAACCTACCTTAAAACACTATTCATAATATGGGTCTTTCTACTGTCCTTACTGGCATTCTCTCTCCCAAGATGAATGACTATATTGTCACCAAATACTTTTTGATTTCTGTTTTTGAGAAAATATTTACTATTCTGAGGCTTAGACAGAAATCTCTCACTTCTGTTCTGTTCAGTTTTTATGAGCTCTCAGAATAAAAGGAAGAAATCTTCTTGGAAATTACTGAATACTTAATTATTTAATCTTATAAGTGATCTCTCATTTTATTGGTATAAGTGAGAAAGAAATACACTTATTCTTAAAGTTAAAAATAGTTCTCTTTCATTTAATAGCTTAATAACCGTAGGTATATCATACATCTGAGATTCTCTGTATTATATGTAAAATGAGATGGAGTGCACTCACTGTTTTTCACAATGGAACTCAGGGAGACTATGGATGGCAAGGCCACACCCAGAGCTACTCAATCAACACCCAGCAGGGTGGGTATTTCAAGTTTCTCTTACCCAAATCTACACATCTATAGTAAGAACCACAGTATTCTCAAGCACCTCTGTGGTTTCATTTAGCTCTCCCAGTCTATGATTCTGAGGCTCAAAATCCAAATTTTCCGAAAGTGTATCTTGACACAAAATAAAGACTAGATGTCCAAGTTTTTGTATAAAATTGATCTTTGAAAATCAATATAGCCATTTTTAATAATAAAAGCAGAAATATTATCAGGAACAAATTCCATTAATTCATCAAGGCAGAAATAACGAATCTGTTCTTCAAGTTTATCTAACTATACAGGCCTTCTTATTCTCTTCCTCAACTGTGCGAGTGTACTGAATCCTGGGTCAAATACAAGAAATTTTAAGGCTGGAAATTACTGCTGCTTATTTACCTTGTAATTACTAAAATATTTAAATGAATCAGCTTTCTGATTTAAATAGTCATAATTTATAATGATCACCCCAAGATTCGCAAGCGTCAAAATTTTTTAAACTTTTTGTTTTATTGGTACATTTTAGACATACATAATGATACAATTCATCATAGGGAATTTGTACCTGTACATGATATATCTTGTTTCTTCTTTTCTTATTCCCCTCCCCACCCTTCAACCCCAAATTCTTTAAGAATCAATAATTGAGTAAGAAACAAAACCCCAGATTGTAAAATTTCCTCTCAAAATTCCAATGGGCACTGAAGAAATTTCTTAAGTCACTTACCTGCATCATTTAGCCACTTCTCTAAAAGTGGCTTTAACTTGCACATGTTCTTAAAGCTGAGGTTCAAGGCTTCAAAGCGAGAGATGGTAGTTTGGCTGAAGTCGTTTCCATATAGTTTACCCATAGCGAGCCCAACATCACCCTGTACAGTCCAGAGCAGGAAAGGTGGTAAGGAAAAGAAAGAGATTCCTTTCACTAATGTTTACAGCTTCTACTGTGCAGGGCCGCTCCAATAACTGCTCTAGATGAAGAACCTAGCAAACAATCATTCTTTACTGTGTCCCACCTAAACTCTGTCATTAAGCCAAGCACAGTAGTCCAAAAGATTGTAGAACCTTAATCAGGTCAGCATTCAACACTGCCCCAGATACTTTCCCTTCTGAACCCCTGTTTGTTACATTACATAATAATCAAGATATTAAAACTTCTATTTAGTCTCAAAAGATAGTGTTGATTCCAACAACCCTCTTAATTCATGTAACCAAAGTGATTTTAGTAATCTTTGAAAATCAGTTTCCCTGGGTCACTTATAGGAATTAGATGTAATGGTCTGGATAATCCTAGGAATTTCTGAGCTAACCAAACTTCCTATATATAACTTTAAAATTTAGAAACGATCCCTCATTCGTTTTATTTTTCTTTCCTATAAAGTATTTCTAGATCAGTAAAAAAAAAAAAATCTATTTTCACCCTTAGTTTGGATTTCAAAGTTGGTTACAAAAAACAGGTATTCTAAAAGACCATTCTGTAACCATTATAGAGACAGAAATTCACAGCAGAGAGGTTTGACCCATTTAGTAAAACCTTCATGAGCACTGGAAACTTGGTAACCTCCTAGCAATAGAACAATGATCTCCTGAATATATTACAAAAGATGTCTTCCAAATGAGCCTATAACCTTTGAAATGTATACAATGCTTTTCTTCCAGCTGGATCTTCCTATTTAAGCTGGGAAAAGTCATATCTTAATAGTTATTTTATAGACATATAATAGAAACTCATGGAGTTTAAATGATTCATCCACTCATTTCAATTAGTTTAGTGCAAGGCAAAGACGAAACAGCATTTCTGGCCCTATATGCTACACAGCTAATTCTACAGAGACAGCCAACTCAAGGTCATTCTGCCAACACTTACTTTGAATTGGGACTGTCCTAGTCTTTTGACACTATTCCCCAGGCATATTTTGAATCCAACATTATTAGGCACATGTATTAGGTAGTATTAAAGGAAATGAAATAATATTTATTAAACTCCACTTTTTTACTATTGAACAATTTCTGATAAAAGGTTTAAAAGAGGACAAATGTAGAACCATAAGATAAAATGAGGCATAGAGAATACCTGACTTTCATATGATCTATGTGATCCTGTGTTGTCCCTATAATAGCCACCAGCCATATGTGGCCATCTGAATTTTAATTAAAATCCAATAAATTAAAAATCCAGGGGCCGGGTATGTAGTTCAGCAGCCTGGCAAGCACAAGGTACTAAGTTCAATTCCCATACAAAAAAATCCAATTCGTCACAATACTAGCCCTTTAAGCGCTCAGCAGCCACTAGTGCTTGGTGGCTATTGTACTGCACGACACGATAAAGAACATCACTGTCAGCGCCAAACACTCTCTCCCCAGCTAGAATGGAGGTGGACTTTTTATTGATTTCCTTCCAATTATAGTAAAACTGAAAGCAGCAGGATAGCGCAACCAGGCCACAAATGCTGTCCATTGTATCATATAAATATATTTAAAGATACACATACATATGTTTATCTATCAAGGAATGTTCACTCAGTACCTACTGTAAGTCAGGCACTGAATTTACGGTTTAGGGGTTACATCTATCCATGTCCTCCTGGTCACTTCATTTGTTCACAGCTTTTTGAAAAACTCAGGATAACTTAAAACTGGCAATTTCTGAGTATAAGATGTTCAGTAGCAATTAGCAGTAAACGTTTTCTGACACTCTAATTCATGATTCATTAAGAAATTTTCACAACTGTATCTTATTATGAAAACAATTTTGACAAGCAGAAAATAAAATATCTATTCCCAAATTGGATCATATGTAAGTGTAAGCAAAAATCTTTTAAGTTCATAGCTGGAAATGAAGCTATGCTATCAATTAACTAGAACCATGGCACAAATGCACATTCATTTAGTTGAGACATGTAATTGTTTAATGTAATAAAAAGCAACAGATCCTTTAGTTAATATATTCATATTCATAGACTTGGTATATGTTTGGCTTAGTGCTCTGTAACTCTTGGCTTTTTCCCTACAAAAGTTAGATGTAAGCAGTTGATGCACACATAATCTAGGTACATTATATCCTTTGACTTTTCTAAAAAGAGTAAAAGGAATAAAGAACCAAGACGGAATGGGGAAATAATGAATGTAACACATCTGATAAATGTGTTATATACTACAACATACTTTCTAATTATGTAATGACATCTGTAGTAATCCTTTAAAAAGCAATACTGGAATCAGAAAATAACTTTAAAACATCTAATAACATGTATTTACTAAGAGAATAGAGATTTGTTTCAACAAATTTGAGTGTTTAATTTTCCTCTTGTACACAAGCATATAAACACGAATATATTTTTTGGACTCAAAGTAACTTTGAATAACTACAATTAAGGTAATTAACTCCAAAACAAAGGCTAATAAGCAGATTTTCCCATCCTGCACTAGTTGTATGTGCTTTAAGTCACTGAGTCAAGATGTGTGAACCACTGCCATTGCTGCGTCAGTTATTTTAAAAATTAAGGAGTGGTACCAGAAAAAAATGGCTATTTTCAAGAAACCAACCAATAACAAATACTGCCAGGGCTGTGTAGAAAAAAGAACACTTCTCCATTGTTGCTGGGAGTGTAGACTGGTGCAACCACTGTGAAAAGCAGTGTGGAGATTCTTTAAAAAATGAAAACTGGAGGTTCCATTTGACCCAGCTCTTCTACTTCTTGGTATCTTCCTGAAAGAATTAAAAGCATCATACCACAGCAGGATATGCACACCCATGTTTATAGCAGCACTGTTTGTAATAGCTAAATCTTGGAAACAGCCCAAATATCCACCAACCAATGAATAGATAAGGAAAATGTGATTTTTTTTTTTTTATACAATGGAGTAGTACTCTGCCACAAAGCAGGATAAGCGTGAGAGATTTGTAGGTAAATGGATGCACCTTGAGCTCACCATACTCTTTTTTTTTTTTTTTTTTTTTGTACCAGGAATTGAACTCAGGACCTTGCGCTTGCCAGGCAGGCGCTTGTGCTGCTGAGCTATATCCCCGGCGGAGCCCACCATACTCTTAAGTGAAATAAATAACACACACATGTTTAAATACCACATGGTTTCTCTGGTGTGAGAAAATGAAAGTATAAATAAGGACCAAAATGTCTAACAGATATTAGGAAATGGGAAGAAAATGTTCAAATGAGAAAGGGAACAAAGGAGGGGGGAGGGGGAGGGGGAAAGGAAGGAAAGGACAAGAAAAAAGAGAATAGAGGGAAATAACAGAAATGAAGCTTTTGTAAGTAAGGAGGGAAAAAGGGGTGGCAGGGAGGGAAAGGGAATGGAAAAATCAGAAGAATCAAGATATATCATGGACAGGTACAAATTCCCTATGATGAATACCATCATTATGTACACCTAAAATGTACCAGTAAAAGAAAAGAAAAGCTTCTTGTGGGCTTCCAAGAGGTGTAGAGGACATACAAGGACACAGATGCCACAAGGAGCTCACTATTGTGACTCTTCACAGTTGTCCACGTATCTCCCAGACACAGCATTTGTTATTTCTGGTTTTGTCCTTTTTCCTCTCTTGTTTGGCCGAAGTTTGCTCTACAGAGCCAGTTTCTCCATTACCCCTTCCTCCAACCCTCACTTTTCAAATAAACTTTTGGCACCATTAAAAAAAAAAGGCAGAAAAAGAAAATGAAGCAAGTGGTCATAGGAAAAAAAGGAAAAAATCAGGTGTGATATGCATGCCCATAATCCTGGCACTATGGGAGGCTGAGGCAGAAGAGTTGCAAGTTTGAGTCCAGCTTGGGCAACTTAGTGACTTAGCAAGGCCCTGTGTCAAAGTAAGTAAAATTTAAAAAGGGCTGGGCACAGTGTGAGGATTCTGGGTTGAATCTTCAGTGCTGAACAGGGATGGGGGAAAAAGGAATAAAACAATAAAGTAAATCATTTAAATATTTATGAATATTGAAGGGAATGAAGGGAAACTTCTTCATGTGGAAAGACAGAGAAAAAAGAGAGACAGAGGCACATTTACTACTGGCAATATACTGGGTCATATGCCACAACAAGGCAAACCACTATTTGAGTAAAGGTAATAATTTTTAAAAGGCTTCAAAAATGTAAACTGCATTTCATTTAAAATTACATTTTTAAAATCACTTTATGCTCCCAATATACAGCTTCTTTGAACAAAAATAAATTCCTGAAGAAATTATAAGAAATATAAATCTGTTCCTAAAAACATCTAGAATATAAACAAAGATGTTACCCTGAATTTTTTTATCTACCAGATAAGTAGTACAGTACATATTTTCTTTTTTTTTTTCTTTTTGGTTTTTCTCCGGTACCGGGAACTGAACTCACAACCTTGCGCTTGCCAGGCAGGTGCTTTGCCGCTGAGCTAAATCCCCAGCCCCTATACTACATATTTTCAACAAAATCATTTGGATAGTATTTAAGTGGTTGGTTAAATTTCAAATAGTAATTATATTCTCTGAAAAGAACATTATCAGTTTTTTTCCTGATTCCATAAAAACACACAATCCAATCCATACTTCAGGTTTTTTTCCTTTCATCTAATAATCTTGACATTTTACATAAATGTCATTTAATTTTTTTCCTGGTTTACAAGTATTATTTGTGACAGGTTAATCAAGAAATAAGTCAGTAGCAGTGCTTAAAATAAAAATACTGTGTACCCAGATGCCTGTTTAAGCCATTAAAGCATAGTCATTCCACTTTAAAAGCCCTCTGCTAGCTGACAGTAGAAAAATTAATTTGGATTTTGATTAATTTGGATTTTTCATCTTCACTAAATCTTATTTAATTAATTAGTTTCCACACAGACTGGGGGACGGAGGACAGAAAGAGACAGGGAGGCAGACAGACAGAGTCTGTTACTACCTTCTCTCTCCCAAAAACCTATTTTAAAGTAAGCCCTTCAAACGTATCCCCTTGCAATTACTGTTAAGACCTGAGATCTTTACTTTCTTAATCTTAGATATGTAGCACCAGATGTTCCTCAAATAACAGAACTCAGTCATACCATCCCCCAACATAACATCTTTTAAACTTTCACATATAATTATGATTTCTGAGGCTTGCACTGTGGGGTAAATCTTGAAAGTTTAACCTAACATAAAATTATAAATGAGTGTATATGTAACACCCCCGAAGTTACAAATGCTAAATTACTAATAAGAATAGATATATCTAAAACCAAAACACAACATGGCTGAAGACCATATTGCTCCTCAGAAGCCTCTTTAGACATGTAAAGCAAATACTTGGACCCAGGCAATGTGGGAAATTTAGGTCAGAGTAGCATCATCATCCTACCTGAGTAAATCCAAGTTTGATTCGTCTTTGTTTGAAGGTCTTGGCAAATTGCTCAAGCTCCTCAAGGTCACTGGGCTCCTCCAAGCTGGGGGTATCAATTCGCTTTGGTGTTGTCTGGCTCTGTGGAAGTGTTTGAATTGGGGTTGCTGCTATTGTGCGTGTTGGGGTTGCTGGCTGTTGGAGAAGGAACAGAGTAATAAACATACATAGTGTGATCAAAATATACAGTGAATGTTTACATTAAAAAAAATTATAGTAAAAGACAGATGCCATCCATCCCCCTTGCTTCAAACACACTTATCATTCTTGCTGTATTCTGAAGCAATTCTGGAAATCCTCTTCTGTGAGTGTCTTTATGAAGTGCAATGACTCAATGGAAAGGTAGGTTCATAAACACATTATGTATGCTATTTCCTCATCTACCTTATTCAGTGGATCTGGCTCCATGCAACTCCTGATCTTCCCCAAAGTGAAAATGAGAGATAAATGTTTTCCATTGATTCGGGACATTAAGGAAATCAGGACAGAGCAACTAAAGACACCAAAGAGAACTTCCAGAACTGCTTTAGAAAGTGGCAAAAACAATGGAAACGGTGTGTTCAAATGGAGAGGGAGAATTTTTAGGAAGATCAGCAGCAATGTCTCTTTTATGATAAAACATTTTAAAAATGTAAATGTTCACTATATTTTTCACATGTCATACAAAAAGATAACTGACACAACTGTAATGTGCTATAAACAAATAACTTAAGACAGTTATATTCAGGAAGAATGATGAAAACCATGTAACACCACAGGGAGCACAACAATGTTCAGTGAGAAAGCAGACTGTCAGGCATGTATACGGCAATTATAGTAAAGGCTAAACACGTTAGCCTGTGGAAAAGACTGAACTACACAAAAATAAAATTAAGTAGTCTGAATGCATGAATTTTATGTCTTTTAATAAATGGTTCATTATTTTAAAACATTTATTTTATAAATAAGCCATTTAGGGGCTGGGGATTTAGCTCAGCGGCAAAAGCGCCTCCCTGGCAAGCGCAAGGTCGTGAGTTTGGTTCCCGGTACCAGAGAAAAACCGAAAAAAAAAAAAAAAAATAAATAAATAAATAAATAAAAAATAAATAAATAGCCATTTAGACTACCAAAACAGCAGGGACTCCCTTATCTATCTTATTTATCACTACTCTGTCTCAAACATGTGACACTAGATTATAAAAATAATAAATCATTAAACTATTTTCAGAAGGGAAATAATCTGTGGTTTAACTAACAATATAGGAGGCATCATTTTGGGGTATTTGTTAAATTTTTTCCCACAAACCTACATTTTAACCTTAACTGTAATTACGGTACATATAATTATCCTTTCCAAAGACTGCCTGGGGCAATATTATTATAATTTAACAACTTAACTGCTTTACAGTTTTTCATTTATCACAGATAACCTCACAATGAAAAACTCTGTGCATGTGTTTCTCCACTGATATAAATAGTTCTATAAGAAAAATTCCCAAGAGACCTTTTTGGCAACTGGATAATTTCATGGCTTTTGCTAATGTTGGTTCCTACTATACCATGTAGTTTCCTCCACATAATTTGTGTTAGCAGTTTAAAAAAAATATTTTCTTCATCAAAGACTAAATGATGTATTATTTTTGCTACTGTTTCTATTATTACTGAAAGTGAAAATTCCCAATGTGTTAAGTATTATCTGTATTTTTTGAATATAAATTAATTTGTGTCCTTTACCCATTTATGTATTAACGATGCCCTTATTCTCATCCTAAATGAGCTCACTAAATGTTGACAGTTAAGGTTTGTCTGTCATATTAATTCAAATATTTTTTCCAATTTGCTTTTTTTCCTTTTATTTTTAGTGTACATAAACTTTAGATTGTCATTTAGGTGAAGTTCCCCCCATCCACTGCTTCTGTTGTTGAAATCTAAAGAAAGCTTCACTTACTTTTAACCCCGACAGAATTCTTGACACCTTGCTGCCTTTTCTTTGCAGTTTTAGGATATGTACTTATTTAAATCCATCTGAAGTTTATTTTGGGACATGAAGCCTTTTCTTTTTTGGTGGGGGTGGTGGGGATTGAGCATAGGGCCTAGTACATGCTAAGTACAAGCTCTACTACTGAGCTATACTCCTAACCCCTAAGCTTTTTTTAAAAGAAAACATTAAATCTCCTTATTATACAAACACAAAATGGTTCTCCTCACAAGCTCCAAGCAGAATATCCCCTTCTGAGCACTCATTAATGGGAGGTACTGTCCTGATCTGTATCCTCACTGCCTGGTTGACCCTTCCTGTGAGCAGAAGACAGGTAAGAGATTACACACCAGGATTACAGATGACCTGTGCTGTGAATTTTTCTTCTTGTAATTTAGATCTGTCATTTATCTCTGAACTTGACCTCACTAGTCAAGGCTTTCTCCAAGGGCACTAACTAGCCCAGAAAACTATACTAGAAGCATTCCATAGACAATAACTGGGGCAAATGCCTCTTATCCTGCTTCAATGAAAACAATAAAGTTAATCTCTATGACATCCTGACACTACGTAATTTTCAAGCTGACCATTTTGGAGAAGCCAACTCTATTAGAATCCTACATGGCTATACGCTTCCTGCAGTGAAACTGGTTAATAGGTAGAGATGAGTTGCAACTGTAAGACTGTTATTTCATCTTGAGGGTCCAAAGACTCACTTCCTCAAATAATAAAGGACTAAAAACAGCTTGGGTACCTTTAGGTACATGGTTACAGATCAAAACAGCCCAAATCTAGAAACCACAGGCTGGACTGAAACAGATACAGGAATGGCAGAATAGAATTTAGTAAGGGGAAGTTGGGACAAAGCCACAAAAACCTGCCATTGTTTGCAGAGCATGTAGGTCAGGAAGGAAGTCGTCATACAGGCTTCTGTCCAAATCCCAACCCTTGGCCAGACCTGTAATCCCAGCACCTTCGGAGGCTGAAGCAGGAAGACTGAAAGTTTAAACCCGGCCTGGGTAACGTAGTGAGATCCTGTCTCAAAACAGGGCTGGAGATGTAGCTCAGCATGAAGGCCCTAAATTTAATTCCCAGTACCTCAAAAAACAAATAAAAAAACAAAGATACAGAACATTTTCATCACCACTGAAAGTTTCCTTGTGCCTTTTGTAGTTACCTCTATGAGTAGGCCAAGTTACGTTTATCTTTAATTCCAATTTCCAAATGATCACTGCTGGTATATAGAAATATAAATTATTTTTGTATATTGAGTTTGTATCCTACATACTTTTTAATCTCACTTATTCCAGCAAGTCCCCCCAGACACCTTAAGACTTTCGATATAGACAATTATGTTTGTCTATCTACCTGTTAGGATAGTTTTTAGTTGTTCTTTCTTTCTAAAGATAGTAAAACATATAGCAATACTCTGTATGTCCTTTATTTGTTTTTCTCGTCTTAGTGCACTTCTAAAACTGTCAGTATAATGCTGAATAAAAGTGGTAAAAGTGGTCACCTTGTTCTGATCTTAGAAGAAAGGTAATTCAGTCTGATTATTAAGTATGGATTTTTTTGGTAGATGTCCTTTATTAGGTTAAAAAAATTACCTTCTATTCTTAAAATGCAATAGTTCTTATTATAAATGAATGTTAAATTCTGTCAAATATGATGATATATAGTATTAAACCTTAACTTCTATACTTTAGACAAAGAGAGTTAGACATGGAAAGGGGATTTAGGATCAGCCAGTTCAGCCAACTAATTTACAGATGAGATCCAGAAAAATCAAACGACATACATGTCCAAAGTCACTGCTAGATAAGAAGTAGAAGGTAGAACCAAAAACCTCTAGATGTTTAAGACTCGTGATTTTTATGTGATTGTAGAGGTTATATGGTCTAGTGGAAATGAGCTAAAACACCATTCAAGCACTGAGAGAAAAGAAAACATAGAGATTTGTGCTTCTTTGCAGATTTTAAGGAAAAGCAAGGGACAATGACAGGTTTTAAGGTGAGGCACCAGGTTCCTGGTTCAAGTGGTAGTATCTACTACAACTACAGGACAGTGATGTGTGCAACAAAGAGCCACAATGCACTACTGCTAACACATATATTCTTTATGAATTATAAGAAAATACAGAATCTTTAGAATTTTTTAAAGATTACATCAATTTTGTAGCATTGTTTTACCAAGCAAAAAAGTCCAGCTTTGAATTTTTTGGTCAGTTTTTAAAGACTGTTTGGATTATTAGTTCCTTTTGTTTTGTCTTGATTTTCTTTTCAGTTAAACAAAGAATGAAAGTCTTTGCCCATAACAGGGTAAGAGAAAACTGACCTGGGAGGTGAGGGTGATGCTTGGCTGTGACTGTAGGAGGTTGGCTTGGCTTTGCTGAGGTAGTTGCGTTAAAAGATTTTGCGCTTGCAGGAGACCTATAAAACATAAACACGTAATTGCCAGAAAACATTAAAGGTCACTTTCAACACATATAGCAAAAGAAAAAATAAGAATGTAAACTGAAAATATCTCAGCCCACTGCCTGATCATCTTATTGGTCTTCAAACTTTTGTCTTATTATCTAAAATTCAAACTTTTTAAGTACAACTTAAGTAGAACTTGGGCAAGAAGATAAATAACATTAAATTAAAACTGATATGTCTTTAGTATAATCTAAGTAAGCTCTCTGATAGGCTAATTCTTTATTTTAGTAAGGAGTAGATGAAAGTGAAGAACTATTTTAAATGGAAGCAACTAGAAATTTGGAAAAAAAAAAAAAAAAAAAACCCAAAAAACTTCCCCCCACAAAAACAGATCAACTTCTTAACAGGAATCCACTAGAATATGCCAGTATATTGTAGAGCAGCAAAGTAACTAGTTCATGAAAGGTTTAGGCTATCCTTTAAGTGGAAAAAGATGCTCTTTTTAAAAGTTCTCTTTATAAAACATTTGCCTTCCAGTGATAATAAAGATGAAATGTGTATTCTATCTGCACTACACTGAACTGTCTTGGTTTAAAAGTGATTGAAAAGTAAGGTATGTGTGGAGGGACATGTCAGTAGACTTAGCTATTCAATTTGCTGAGGCAGAAGATTGCTTGGTCTAGACATCTGAGGCCAGCTTGGGCAACACAGTGAAAACTTATGTTAAAAAGCAGGGGCCTGGGGGGAGAGATTTGGCGTTAATCTAAAGACTTAACTTCAATTATAATGCTGTTGCTAAAACACTCAATATAAGATTATTTGTAACAAGGTTAAGAGCAGTGGTAGAAATTATCCAACATAGTACTTCAAAGAAAAGGAGTGCTACCAATTATTTTGTATAAATATATGTGGCAAGATTAGTTGGGGAAAACAGTACCTTCCTAACGATGATTTCCATAGGCCACTGAATTTGATACACTGAATGCTGGAGTATGTAGGACAACAACCAAAAACTTACACTGGCCACAGATTTCATTATGTCTAAGTAACTAAAAACTACCTAAATTTAAGAAATTAAAGCATATTCACAATGTGTATCACAAATAGGATAAATATCCTAAGCAGATTTAAATTTTATTAGTTTGGGGCAAGTGAGTATGATTAAGTATGATTAAGTGAAATAAACTCTTAAAAGGCAGATTTAAGAAAAAAGAAGTTGAAGAGACCATTTCGGTTCTCCCTATGTCTCCCTATAGTTCAATCTCATACAGTAGTTAGGATTATCTTTTCGGTCATATCCTTCCCCAGTTAATCCAAAGACTTTCTGTCACAAGTGGGATACAATCTGTGCAGTCTTGTGTAGCTCTTAGACCTCACCTCCTACCATTTCCTCCCACTCACTGAGCTCCAGCTGTGCTGGTCTTTCCTTCCTGGTCAAGCTTGTTGCTCTCTCAGTGCTATTATTCTCCTTGCTCATGAGACTCTTCACCCAGATCCTAGGGGTGGCAGTTCTCCTTGCCCCCATTATCAGTTCCAACTCAAATGACACTTATCCAGAGAGGTACTTTCAGATCATCTACCCATTCTTCCACAGGTAAACCCTTACCCGATTAGTCTGATCTGCTGTCTTCCTAGTACCGATTTGCTATCTGATTCATTTTTCTATTTTTACTATTTTGTTTCTTCTAGGGGTAGCTGGGACTTCACCTCATTCAAAATTATAATACCAACACTTAGAGTACAATATGACAAGCAGCAAGTACTCAACAAATTATTAAGTGAATTAACCATAACATCAAAATTTTCTGATTTAAAAAAACATGAAGGGTAGTCTAGAGAGAAAAATAAAAGTATATTTACATCAGTGATTAAAACCAATCTATTGAAAGTATTTTGAAAGGATAATGGCTCAAAAATATTGAAAAACAGTAACAATAAGTTAACTAAAAAGTGAAAGGCCCCATAAAGGTTTTAGAATTCACAAGGCCACCCCTTGCCCTCTTCCTCAACCTCCCAGCTAAGGAAGAGCCAAATAAATACAAACATTTATTTTCTAATAAGAGTATTTCTTTGATTAGTTTCAGAATCAATGGTAAGAACAGAAAGGGCAGAATAAAATCTCCAGTAAGTTATGTCTTAAATTTGGAAATGTATCAATAAGAATTTTCCTAAGGGTCTCCACTGAGCGTGTTTTCAGTCCCCCATGCTCTGAGAAAATGGCCTGGATTTTGCTTGCTAGAAGTTAAATATTCAACAATACGTATTATACTTCAAATGTTTAGCAAGCCCTTTCTTATTTTATTTTGAGCAGGGTCTTGTTAAGTTGTCTAGGCTGGGCTTGAATTTGTTTGTGATTCTCCTGCTTTGGCTTCCCAGAATACGGAGATTATAGGCAAGTGCCACCATGCTCAGCTTTGCGTTCTGTTCTTTCAAATAAAATGAAGTCCAAAGACCAGGCACTTGGCTCTGTCAAAAGAAAATGAGGCCAACTCATTCAATCTTGAAGCTTTAACAATTACAAATCTGATAAATATACTTCAGTACTGACTTAAGTCTTTCCTGTTAATCATTTCCTCCTTCCTTTTTGGAATTCTCTTCTATTGTTATTATAACTCTTCACTAGTTTTGACCTTTAAAATCACAGTATCTTCTTCTGATGTCTACTTATTCCTCCTATACTTATAAAAAGACTTTTTAAAACCCTCACAGTTTCCTAAAAAAAACAAACCCAAGAACTTTGAGCCTCATCCTCATCAATAATCAAATATAACTGGCTACCACATCCTCTCTATCCACCAAATCATCATCTCTTTCTATCCCCACAACCATAGTTCAGCCCTTATAAAATCTCAACTGGACCACTGCAATGTTCTCCTAACCAGCATTTTTGTCCATCTAATTTTTCCTCCCCAAGTTTCAGGGTCAGTTTTCTTAACAGAAAGTGGGAAATGTGACCTTTCTACTTCACCTTTCTATAGTTCTGTATAGCCTACAAGAGGGTTCCTAGATTTGAAGGCATTGAGCCATTCAAATTAGGGTTAAGGTTAAAGGACTGGTTTAAATTTGGGGCTCAGAAACTACTTTTGTAATTCTTCAAGTGACAAATACTTGAAATGAACTATGTTAACTATTAAGTTACTGGACTAAAAGTCAAAGTCTTGTTAGGTGCTCTAATGATTTCATCTCCTGTAATCTTTTGACCTTAAATTTCACACATGCAACTTTACATTCTCCTTTTAAGGCATTACTTACAGTTATCAAACACAGCTTATTAATTTTTCTTCCAAGTCTATGAGCTTTGCAAACGCTGTTACATTTTGTAAGACTGACATTTTCTCCTTTATACTTGTACGAAGGCATTTTCCCAACTCACTGTGAAGGCTTCTCTGATCACAAAAGTACAAAGGGTCTCTGCTTGGTTCCCACAGCATTCTGTGCACATCAAATCTAATATCTTTTAATAGGTCTGTTTCTCTGGCACTAGACTCTAGGCTCTTTTATTCTGAACGTACACTGAAAATACATTTTTAAACAATGAAAGATTTTGGAATGAATATATAAGAAGAAAAAACGCAAAAGAAGTAAAAACAAAAACAAACCCCAGAAACAATGAAGACTTGATATTTGATTAATACACTGTATACATAGAAATAACACACTGTACCCCATCAATATATACAATTAAAATAATATTTAAAAAAAACCAACAGAGGTGCACTAGTGTTTGGAGCTTAGAGAACTACTCACCCTGCTGGCCCTGGGGCGTCTGGGAGATGATAAACTGCGCGGGCTGCAAGTTGGTGGTCGGATGCACCAACACGAATTGCTGCAGGTTGAGATTTTGCTGTTGAAGCTGCTGCAATTGCTGAAGATCCTGAATGGCAGAATTAAAACACAGATTGGAGATTCTAAAAATAAGTTTGCTTAATTATAAGGCTTCTGACTAATGACTTCTGTCACACAGAAATCAAAGAAGAGTCTCTACTGAGCATGTTTTCAGTCCCCCATGCTCTGAGTATGTTTCACACGGCATGTAGAGAAACCTGGAACTTCTTTAAAAACTTACTTTTTTTGTGAGGTTAAGATTCATAGTGTTATGACTAATTTTTAAGTTATTTAAAGTTCTTTAGAATTAATGATTACAGTTCCATCTTTTCTACCATATGAGCCCAACATGAATTTTAAAAATCAAGAGCATAAAAAACTTTTATATATTTGACTTCTTTGTCTCTTCAATAAAAAGAGTGTCATACCTGAATTTCCATCAATAAAGATCTACAGTTAATGAAATTTGATATCACACTATTTAACTCAACTAAGAAATCTGTTCAATTATTTAAAAATAGAAAGTTATCCATATACACATCTGATCCACAGCAAAACAATAATATTTTACACTAGTGTTTTAAAATTTTCAATGTGCTTTCATGTTTATTATTTTATTTAGCTTAACGTCAACATAGGATCTCACAGATCGTGTACTAAAAGCATTTATTTGATGTTGAAGGAAGCAGCCCAAATGAAAACATTACCTTGATAAAGACTGTACATAATAGCAATAAAGATTAGCCTGACATCATTTTCAACTGTAGTCAAACTCTTACTCTAATTTAAATCCACTTCGGAGTCTTTTCTGGAGGTGATAAAGCAATTGTCTAAAACTAGATTCATTATTAATTCTTCAAATATTTTACTCAAAACTACTTGCTCGCCCCCACCCCAGTATTACGCATTGAACCCAGGGCCTTCACAGTCAGATATATTCCCAGCCCTTTTTTATTCTGAGATATGTCTCACTAAGTTGGCCAGGATGGGGTTAATTTATGGTCCTTCTACTTCAGCCTCCCAGAGTTTTGGATTATAGGCAAGTGCTATCATACTTGACTCTTTTTCTTCTTTTTGACATGAAAGATTTCACTTATGTTTTTCCTTGGTCCTATATGTCTGCACCTCTTAAATTTATTATCTTCGGATGCTCTGCCCAAAAATGTGAAAAACAAAAACAAATGACAGTCAACTGCAGTTCTTCACAGTGTTAATCATTCGAAAGCAGAGATGACTTGCTGTCTCCCTTACACATGGGTGGCAACATTTACTGCAGAGCACATGAAAGAACCCGTGCTTGCTGTAATTAGCTCATTAAGATAAATACAGTAATCCTCTGCTTCAGAAATATGGCAGCTACTTATTCAAGAATTGTCACTTAATATAAACAGTCAGTTATTCAAATAATTAGCCTGTGTTTATAATACCAACTCAAATAAGCAAACAAATGTATTACTTCTAATTCAGTGGTAAGGAAAGGGTACCATTTACCAGGCCTATACCAACAATCAGAGAATTACTTTAATATTTCATAAAATCTGCTGTTTTATTGCTTGCCTGCTGCCATAGGCCCTCAGCCCCCTCCTCACCTGTGCGATCTGGATGGGCTGCGACAGCGGTATCTGCGTCATGGGCGTGGCGGCGGAGGCGGAGATGGTGGCCCCAGCAGCGCTGTGCTGCTGGCTGGCAGAATGTTGTTGTACCGCAGCCGCCAGCAGCTGTGCCTGTGCCTGTGCCTGCTGTAGTAGTAACTGCTGCTGGGCTGGCGTCAATGTGAGCTAAACAAAATGAGAACACATGATAGGAAGGCCAAAAGAGCAGGGCACCCAGTGTAAGTCCACTGCTTCAAAACAGTTAACGCAAGTAGGACCTAGCTACTCAACCTCACTGGGCTAGCATCAGCTAAGATGCTCATCAGTGATCAAACGATTGTTCCTAGCAGACCACTGCAATGAAAGTGGTAGCCCTTACTCTGGACTTAATCATTCAAGCTTGTCCAGGGTCCTAGGGTTCAGGCAATATAGGTAATTAACTAGTAAGCAAGAAAAAAAGGAATCAATGCTGACAGGATATGAAAAGAAATTTACACCCAACAGAACAGCAAGAGATCAGTCAGATGAATGAGGAACAAGGACACTGCGTATGACCATGAAAAGAACTGATAAGGCCCAGCTGCTTCCCATTAGGAAGAAACCCTGCCATATTCCATCATTTCCATTATGTCCTAAGATGTGACTAAAGAATATGAGCTCCATTTATTTCCTTTCCAAGTCTCCCAACAGGCCCCTCCCTAACACAATCTTTTCTCTTATTGAAAGCACTGAGTCTCTGCAACTTCACATCCCCTTCCACACATTATCTCTATGAAACAGGTGGTGACAGCCACCCTCTTTACATGCAAATACAGCTTAAGGTCCAGGTTTTATAGCAGCTTCAGCCACACAAACCTGGAATCCCAAGTGCCTCTCACTATTATAGACCCTAGTCACCAAAAATAAAACGCGAATAGTAAAATGGGAACTGTATTTAGAGCAGATTTAAGCTCACTTCCATAATACAACTTATTCATAATATGCTTAAGTCAAAGTAGTGTGCTAAAACTTCCTTTTGGTGACATGTTCTGATCAAACAAGAAGGAACTAGAATATTCAATGTGTGTAAATTGTAACTTGGCAGCAACTCACCTTCCAAAAGGTTCCAAACACAATATGTGCATTACAACCACAGTGAAAAATCAGGCTGTTAAAAAAATCAGTATCTTTCAAGATATATATATATATATATGAATGAGACATATATTAATCTCTACTGATGGGATTTTATAAACAATTTTGCAACAGTTCTTAAAAGAGCCTTTCACTAAGCTGGGTGTCATGTGCATGGAGGTTGAGGCAGTAGGACTGTTGGGAGTCTGAGGCCAGCCTGGGCTCCATAGAGTTCAAGGCCAGCCTGAACTATACAGTGAGATCCTGTCTCAAAAAAACAAAAACTAAACAAATAGCCTTTCATTGCCAGAAAATAAATTTGAGGACTGATGTGATATAAACTGAGTAAAAACTCTTCCTTACCATTTTCTTCCCTCTTTCCCTCCCTCACTCCAGATAATTTAAAAGATAAACTTTCATCTGGAAAACTACTTGGAATTTCGTCTTAGAATAAAGGTAGCTGAGGGCTGGGAATTTAGCTCAGCGGCAAAAAGCACCTGCCTGGCAAGCGCAAGGTCGTGAGTTCAGTTCCCGGTACCGGAGAAAAACCAAAAAAAAAAAAAAAAAAAGAATAAAGGTAGCTGAAAGGTTATAAGCTCAATGTAACCTCAGGCCAATTTGTTACCAGTAAAAGTAAACTACATTTATTGACTACCTGGTGCCAAATATTGTTTTATAAACTTTACATATATTATCTCTAATCTCTGTAAGAGTGCTTGGGATAGGTTTATTAATATCTCCATTTAACAGAAGGAAAACTGAGGTACAGAGAGATGAAGTAATTAATTTGTCCCTGTAGTAAGCTGCAGGGCCAGGAGATAAGATGACAGGTTTTCAGAATTTAGAATTAGATGACAGAATTTTAGAATCCATTCTTCAACTTCTGTCCTGCAATGATGGCGTAACTCCAAGCTAAAAACTGCCATTTCACCAACGTAATGGTCTTAAGCATGTAACAATGAGTCCATAACATGACGAAGCAATTCCTGAAATACGGGTTTAAAAAGTCCTTACTCTATTCAGAGCATCTGCAATTGTAACAAACGAAATCCTGAATGCTATGACAAAGATAATTCCTTTTCAGAGATGTCTAGAATATAGGATTTTTCTTAAAGACACAATAGAGCCATGTTACTACCAGCTCAAGTAGGTGGTTATAATCAGGGATGGTATCAGCAAAGGGCAGTTCTGACCTACAGGAAGCTTATTACAATTTTCTCAGTGAAAACTTACCCCGGTTATCTGTCCTCCAGCCAGCATAAGCTGGGTCTGGGGAATGGCTGCCTGCACTGAAGGCTGCTGGGAAGGCTGGCTTGGCTGCTGTGAATCCCCCGATTCTTCATTAGATTTTGCCTGAGGTGGGTTGGGTAGGAAGAAAAGATTTCTAACAGTTGATTAAAAAATAAGATTAAATATAAAGCATTGATAACTATATTTTAAGAATCATTTAAGACATGGGTTACTCAAGTCCAGAGTTTTCTGATTTTTTTCTTTTTTTTTTTTTTTTTTTTTTTTTTTTACCGGGAACTGAACTCACGACCTTGTGCTTGCCAGGCAGGCGCTTTTTTTTTTTGCTTTCTCAGAAGCCTCTATCTTCCAAAGCAAAGTTTTTGAAGTTTTTATTCCAGTGCTAGCAAACCAACGAAGAGTTTTTTATAATCTCACATCCCCAACTCTGAAAATAAGTAAACAAAAAAACACATTTGTAATCCATTTCTGTATTAGATGCTCCATACCAACATTCTCATACAGACCGGGTATTATATGAAGCTTCTTCACATAACATCATAGAGGCTGACTGCTTGATCCATAGAACTCTCTATGTCTTATTTTAAAGAACTGTAAATCTAGCTAGTATCTTTCATCAAGTAACACAGGCTTGAGAGAAAGTACAGCAGTCAAAAAAGAGATCGCCCTCTAGAAAGGGGCATGGAGAGAAAATTTTATGGTAATTAAAAATGGTTATGCAGAGCATTAAAATTCTGCATAGATTTGCATATTTCCTACCACCTGTTTTAGGGACTGCAGCAAGGCTAATTAACATAAAAGCTCTGATTAATTCTGCCAGTCATTGAAAGATAATTACAGTGCAGGATTGTAAACATTCTGCACTAGAGATAGAGCCTGTTTGCCAACATCTCTCTAAGGGATGAAAGTTTACCATGGCAACCAAGGCAATTTTCCGCCTTTTCTCCCTCAGAAAGGAAGATCACATTATCTCCTTTTCTTTTCTCTCCTTGTTTCCATGTGTTACTAGGACCATATTCCACTGGGTTTCATGGAATGCCCAACCCGAGGTCTTTGGTCATTAGCCAACACTGGAATCAATCTTCCGAAATACTGTTTTTCCCTTGCCTGTTAGTTACCTAAATACTATAAAGAAAGGAAGCAACCTGTTGATTGAAATGTTATGGAGTAATGCATAACACCTGAACTTTTCATGTTTTGCCACAGGGTTCACAGAAACAAAATACATTGCTAGATTTAAGTTTTGTTTTAAATTTTCAGTGTCTATCAGCCATGTCTATAAGCAGGCTTACTTACATTCTTAGAAGCATAACATCTTAGAGCAGAGGAGAACTCTGGCAATCTTATACATGTCCCCACTTAGATATAGACATGAAAACTTGAGCCCAAGGAAGTTAAGTGACTCACCATAAGTCACATAACTAGTTAGTGGTAGAATGGGAACTCAAACCTAAGAACCCCGTATTTCTCAGTCCAATGTTCTTTCCTCTGAACTATAATGCTTCTTTAAGATATGAAAAATGACAAATAAAAGATCTTTGGAAATGAAAGGGCATTTAACAAATTGACTTTTTGAAAGTTATATGTTTTAGCTGTGTAACTTAGAAGCATTTTAGTGAACACACAGATCAAACTTTGAAAGTAGCCTTTTCTTGTAAACCTCCTAGGTTAATGCACAGTAGCAGAATACAAAACTGATTTGCAGTAATGGCACTAATTACCCTTTTGATTTTTATGAGATTTGATAAGAAAAATATAAATATTAATAAAATAATAGTAATCTTCCTAAGAATTTCCTATTATAAAATTATTTTGTGCCCATTAGAAAAAACTATGGAAAAAAAGGGAAAAATTACCCTATAATCTTATGTCCCAGCTTACCTGTACATTTAAAGACTGAGCAGCAGCCTGTAAACTTGTTCCAGCCAGCTGCACCTGTAAGCAAAATAATCGGGCAGTTGTAGTCTAATAGTGTTGACATTCATCACTAGAATTTGTCATGAAATAGTTTGTTATCAAACTGCAAGAATCTCTACTAAGTATGTGTTACTCAGTAGAAATGAAAATATAAAGGCTTATCTTCCTGTATTAAAACCTTATGGACAAATGCACAGTGTCTTCCCCACCTTAAAAAACGTTGAAGATGTTTTCCCACACTAAGTGGACATCACTGAGGCAGGCCACACTTGTGATCTTCCACATTATTTAACACTCTTGTCTGTATTCGTAGGGTGCTTAGATTTTAAAAACTTAATCCCCTATATCATGTTAAAGAACACATTAGAACAAGGTACCTCTGTATATTATTTTTGTTATTTAAAACAATCAGAACTATCATATTTCAAAATTCCCATGATGTTCCACAGTAACAATCTTATACAGAAACAGACCTACACAAAATTCTTTAAAACGTTTAGTCAGAACTTAAAACTCTTAACAAAAATTAAAATTAAAAATCTGTCCCATGAACTACATATGAAAGTTTGTTGTAATATTTAATATTCACAGGTCTCCAGTAATGAGACATGTGCCTTCGGTTATAATGCACTGTGAAGTACATAATATAAAGTTATTTCTGTTACATTCCTACCGTAAGGGGACAACCTGAATCTAATCATGAATTTAACAGCAGACAAACCCAAACTGGGGAACACCACAAAATAACTGCTTTGTACTATTCAAAAATGTCAATGTCCTGAAAACAAATAAACTCCAAAATTTGAGAACTAGACTATTAACTAGGGTAGAATAAATGGAAGCCTAAATTAGCCTGGTAGCAGTGGTTGTAAAATGTAAGAAACTGAAAGGCATTAGAAAGTACAACAAGGATTCTCAAAGCTTGTGGCAAATGATGATATAGATAAAAAAAAGAGTTATAAATTATTCCAGGGTTCAAATCTGAGAGACTAAAAAATGGTAGTGTCGTCAACAGGAATATAATGAGTTCTATTTTGAGTATACATCACACAGCAGTAAGAAGTCCTAAGGTTAAATATAAATGTTGGTATGAAACTCAGTAGAGTTAAGATCTAGGTCTTTATTTGAAGTGGATAGTCTTGTTAGTAGATAAGAACTTCATGCCCAAAGGAAACAAAAACATAAAAAAAAAGACCCTTATATTTTAAATGTAGTGTAATCAGGAGAGGCCTATCTAACGTGATTAAATGTTTAAATTAAGCTTTAAAGGCAGCAAAGAGCCAGAGGAAAGAGTTTCAGGTACAAAGACTTAAAGGAGATAAAGTTTATGTGATTTTACTTAAATAATGATGCTCCTGGGTAAAAATTGTGCAATAGAATATTTACGCAGTTTTAAAGGGTAACAGAACCAAACACAAAAACCTCACGATCTCTCAACAGATGCAGAAAAAGGATCTGACAAAGTCCAACACCCATTCATGACAAAAATCCTACAGAAAACTGGAATACAGTAGTTTTTATCTCAGTCTGATTAAAGCTATCTATGACAAACCAATAGTCAACATCATACTAAATGGTCATAAACTAAAAGCTTTCACTTGAAAATCAGGAACAAGACAAGGATGTCCACTGTCACCACTCCTATTCAATATATTCTGGAGACATTAGCAAGAGCAATTCAACAAGAGAAAGAAATAAAAGGAACAAGGATAAGAAAGGAAGAAGTTAAACTCCATCAAAAGACTCCTTAGAATTAACAATCAAATTCAGTAGTGTAGCTGGATACAAAGTCAACACTCAAAAATCAATAGCATTCTTGTATACAAATAACAGAGAGCAATTAGGGAAACCACACCTTTCACAACGGCATAAAAAGCAAAACAAAACCAAAAGCGAAATACTTAGGAATTAACCTAACAAAGAAAGTAAAAGACCATTACTGTCTTAAAGGGGGAAAAAAAAACTACTTTCATAGTGGGTAAATCTGATAAACCACCACCTTAATCAAGTAATCAAACAATATCACAATAGGGACAAAGCAATAGTGTATGTCTTCTGATACAATGCACTGAGCTGAATTCAACACAATTTCTATTGTATTTCTTTTGAGGACACACTACTTCAGTGAGATCACGAGGGAACAATCGAACACACAAACGAGGGGCATTCTATAGAATACTTGGCTTCTATACTTTAAAAGTGTCAGCATCGGGGGCTGGGGACTTAGCTCAGTGGCAAAAGCGCCTGCTTGGCAAGCGCAAGGTCGTGAGTTCGGTTCCCAGTACCGGAGAAAAACCAAAAAAAAAAAAAAAAAAAAAAGTGTCAGCATCATGAAAGATAAAGATAGGCTGAGGAACTCTTGTGGATTCAGGAAGACTAACAGATTTGTCAACGAAGTACAGGGCATGGATCGACTGAACATCTAAATAGTGACTATATATTAGGAAATAATCTAACATCAATGCTAATTTTCTAGAATTTGAAATATTTGTTGTAGTTTTGTAAAAGAATGTTGTTTTTAGGAAAAACAAGCCAAGTATTTATAAGTATATGATCATAATATCTGCAACTTCCTAATGATCTAGTAAAATCATTTTCTACATGCATATACATACAAACTGTAATTTTAGATAAACACTGTTCTAATGTTGTTTTACTTTTATAGACTTAAAAGTTTTCAAAATAGAAAGTTTTAAAATAAAAATTGAGAGCAACCCCTTAGCACTCTATTTAGCTAATTTCTAATGTACTTCAAAGACTCAGCTCCAAAACCACTCCCTAGACATACTATCAACATCTTAGGTTATAATGCTGAGCTAAGCATATCTTCCTCTGGATTTCCGTGTATTTTATCATTCATTCATCTATTCAACACATACTTACTGAACATGTGTTATACACTGTGCTCTTTAGTAAGTGTTAGGGATAGAGATAAACAAGAAAAGTCCCCCATCTTCATGGAGCATACAAGGGGGGAATAGACCTAAAATGATTGTATTAAGTACATGCATATTTCAACTATGGTAAGGAAAAATTCAATGTGCTAACCTGGTCAATAAGTGGGCTGGAGAAAGTTACCACACTGCATGTTAAGTATATTTCTAATCAAATGGTGGATAATTATGCATAGATTCTGTCTTGTTGGGGAACTCAAAAGTTTCAAGGTTTCAAATAAATTCTTTGGGTTTCAAATAAATTCTTTGGGTTTCAATCCTTTGGTCTGGGTGATACTAGAGGGTCTATCATTGTGGTAATCACTGGATGGACCCTGAGGCCTTGAAGCTACTGTAAATGCTGTAATCATCTTGGAATACGGACTCAGTGAGAAGAATGCATACCATTTATGTACTTTCAGCAATTTTTTAAAAACACATTATGATCATGTTAAGGTTTGGATTTTAAATGTCCCCCAAAGACTCATATGTTGAAAGGCGTGGCCCATGGCACTGCTGGGAGGTGGAGGAACCTGTAGGAGATATGATCTATTTGAATGGAAGTGCTCTTGAAGGGCTATTGGAACCACAGCCCCTTCCTCTGCTTCTTTGTATCTTGGTCACCATAAGGTGAGCAGCTCTGCTCCGTCAGATGATCCCCATCATGCTGTTTCACCTCATCACAGGCTCAAGTGATCATGTGGTGAAACCTCTGAAACTATGAGCCAAAATAAATCTTTCTCCTTTTTTAGGTGATTTTTTCAGGTATTCTGTCACAACAATGGAAAACTGACTAACACTGACCACTACATATTTAAGCTATTTAAAGATGCTGTATCATATAATTGTCTAAATGCTATCTTTTAATAAACCAGGAACTTTTTTGAAAATCTGAGTATGTTCTTAGAAGAAAATAAACCAGGTAACTTTTTTCTAGATTATATTAAAAACAGATTATTCAGTTAATTTCAAATATTAATTCCTTTTAACATTTTATTTAGAAGTTTCTCTATTTTAAAGATAGATTCCCTCATCTATAGGTATTACATTGGAAGAGCTGCCCCTCTCCCCTCATCGCTTGAAACCACAGAGTATCAAACATACATATGTATATATATAAAATGTTTTTTCCTATACATAGATACGTATGATAAAATTTAATTTACAAATTAGGCACAGTAAGACATTACCAAAAATTAGTAATATCTCTGAATCTTTGGACAAATAAAAAGACTAGAATAGCTTTCTAGAATTTCACCTGTTTTCAAGTAGAGAAGCTTATTTTCAGGTTGTGATGACGTATTTTAATGAAAAGAGTAGAGTAATATAAAATTTAGTCACAATAACTTAGTATTTTAACACCTCCTGTAAGTCCATATGGGATTTTCCACCAAACTGCCACCTCCATTAGGTACCATTACTATTGTCACTACTGCCAACACTGCTTAGCACTAAATGATTTCTTAGTTTTAAGTGAGGTAGAGACTTCTAAAATGCGCTGTTACCCTAATACATAATTGTGAACATAAAACAAGAGGTTGAGACATTGTAATCTATCTCCCAACTTGTTTTCACTATTTTCTATCTTCTACTTTTTTCTAATTTTAAGTAACTCTTTAATTCTTTTTTCTACTAGTACATGCTTGCAACAGATGATGATTATATTCATCATGGCAGGTTGGTACATATTGATTTCTATTTCCAATAAGCTCCCATATTCCAAAATTCTTCAGCAGCCAGTTATTTTTGTGTTCTCTTTCCCTCTATAGTATAGCTAAAATATGAACAAAGAGAATCCATGTTCTTTTTTAGATCCAGGAAAAAAAAAATCATATGGTATCAGGATAATAAAGTTGAGGTAGGCATTTCTAACCTCAAATTAAGGGGTTCATAGTGAAGCAAAAATCAAAATGATCTGAAGCTGTTTTAAAGGAAGGAAGTGATCTTTGAGCTCACAGCCTTACACAGCAGGTCTCAGGCATCTGAGATACTCTGTTCAACAAGAAATTCTTTTTTTTTTGTTCCACACAGCTGTGGTGTCAGTGGTTATATGGTCAACTATACTGTAATGATTCTATACTAACCATTCAGAATGGTACCTAATAACGGTGGCAATTAGCATCAGGTTTTAAATAATTTTAAAAGCCTCACATTCTGAAATAATGTCCCCCACCCCCAGCATGTTGTCTCTGTCTTTTACTCCAACTTATGCTTGAGCAGAAGGTTCTACCTGATGGAGATGTCCAAGGAAAGCCTGGGCCTGGGCTGTTGAGATTGCTCCTCCGACAGGCACAGGCTGCTTCTGAAAGTCCAGACCATTGGTTTGTGTGCCTGGAAATCAAGCAAAATTATTTTAACTCCTGAAATAAACCCAAAAGAAATAAATTAGCAGACATGAGTTACTAACATTCATTAGAAATCTATTTTGCATAAGCACTTTTCTAAGAAGAAAAGGGATTCAAAGAAAACAAAGTGAATTTCTCTTCAAAAGGTAGGACTGCAGGAAAAGCATGTAATACTAACAAAGCTTAATGAACAGAAATAAAAACATAAATAATGAATTACAATCATAAGGCATATTGGAGAATTCAGGTATAGATGCAGTGACTGGGTTTGGAAGGGGCCTGGAATTTAAGATAGCTTTAATAAGACAGTTTAATGGCAAAAGCTTATACGATGATCATAAGAAAAAGTAGTTGTACTGTTTCCTAAGTACAGTTTGCTACATATATCTTATTAGCAAAGGCTCTGCTATATTTTTCAAAATATTATGCCAAATGTTTTTTAACCACTTATGTTGTGATTTGATGTTGGAATAAGACTAATTTATGGAAAGACATGGAACCTTAACACCCAGAAATACCTTCTAAGGGACAAAGTGAGGTAGAATATAAGAGATAAATATAGGTAGAAATGAGACAAGGAAATTTTAATTTTAAAATTGTACTTTTAAGGAAATTGCTGCTTTGAGGTACAAAGTTACCCACAGTTACTGTCTTCTTCCCCCTACTCCAAGCCTGTTTTTCTTCCAGGCTTTTCACTTATAGATTTCTAAGAGTCGTCAAGATACAAATAAATCTGCAACGTTGACACTGTTTTTCTTCTGATACTATAAATCCACAAATTCCACAGACTTTCACCCTAAAGGGAACAGTACTATTAACTGGGTACCACATCTCTAACTTCTAACACATGCAAATAAATGGCTGACATTTTAACTTAGCTGACTAAGGAGTAACTTGAGAAACACTAGGAACACACATCCTAGAATAGATCATGTATTGAGGATGTCGCTAAGATCACATAAACACTCCCAACCCCTTGACCATGCATACTCCTGAGTGTGCACTTTGAATTTGCTTAATAAATTTGTTTATGACTCCCACTGATTTGTCCTATAATTCCTTTCTGTGATGCGCCAAGCCTACTCCATGGAAGTTTGGGAGGAGGAAAATTAATGTCCCTGTCCCTTTCTGTGGGACTGCCTAGGAACTCATAGGTGATAATGATACAGTTTTCAAATTACAACCAGTTATTATTTAGAGGAAGCCAGAATTCTCTGCACTAAGTAAAATGCAAACAGACCACAGGAACTTAGCCACATGCATGGTCCAGTGCTGCCTTTTCATGCCACAGGAGCATCCTCTCTCCCATCTTCACACTTACATGCATGCATACCTCTAGAGCCCACCAGTAAGGAGATGCAAGTTAGAGCTGTAAAGCACTGTTTCAAAAAGGTGCTAATTTCTGCCATTATATATCCCAAATTTTTGGTATACTGCATGACCCTGAAGGGCTATTTCAGGTTTCCTTGACATAATTATAAAAAGACTATATATGTTTGTTTTCTTAGAAGTTTATACAGATCACTTATTTTTTCCCAAAGTCTCCTGCAAGTAGGAAACTACAGACTAATTACATATATACAGCTAGTAGAAGTAAGAGTTAATACATTCTAAACTAGCATGAAATGAAATTTAAAGTAATTAGAGTTACTTCTATGAAGCCATACATAGAAGTTTCACAATTTTAAAGCTGTGCATTTTATCATTAATGGCTGCCTTCATTTCTATGTAAGAAATCATTACCTATGTAAATATTTTAAGATTGTGCTCCATTAGCTTGTCAATAAAACTGGGGAAAGGACTGTGCACCATTACAGAAAAATGCTCAAGATATATTACACAAACCAATAAATCTAAAAGGTGAGACTGTAAAAAACAGAAACAAGCACTTTCGGGACCAAATACAGCTCTCTCACGGAGTCCATAAATTCTACACACTGATTCCACCTTCTTGCTCCTGTATAAATGGTAATAAGCGGTTTGTAAGTCACAAAGTATTAATTAATATGAGACTGATTCCTGGTCCAATGGTCTACAGTTGACCACTGCTAATAGTATTAGCATTAGTATTTATGTGCTATGGCTCTGCTTCTTGGGAAAATGAGATGAAGGTGTGTAGTATTTATACTATAAGTATTTTTAATTTTTAAAATATATTATTGTGTTCTGATATTTTAAATGTGTTGATATCTTAAAAAACCTTCCTGACTGTTCCCCCAGGTTTAGTTAATTCTTAGAGACAGCAAAGGGTCCAGCCAGGAGCCCATTATCTTCGATACACAAATTAATCAGTTCTGAGCCCCATCTCTAGTGACTCTGAAGGTCAGAGTCCTTTCTCTTACTCCTCCCAGAGCCAGGCACCAGAGACCACCCTTATAGCTCAGAGCCCTGTGAAATGATTTAAACTGTTCAGGCTTCATTGTTACCCTGACCTGTCTTGCCCTTCCCAAGGAAAACCCAACAAAGCAGTAGCTTGAACTTTGCTTCCATTTTCTGACTCCTGCCCACCTTTGGTGACTTTCCTAGAGGGGCATATATGGAGTGTCATGCCACCTCTAGGATCTGTAAGTATAGTAAACTTTGTTTTCCTGAGCCTCTACTGCATCCCTTTTTGTGGTTGTAACTGACTGATTATCCCCAGTACTACACAAAATACAAAAAGGTACTAAGGTAAAAAGAACACTCAGCAAAGTCAGATAAACACAGGGATTCAAAAAGCAAAGGCAGACAATTTCTTTTTTTAAATAAGGTGTCTGAGGCTCCACCGTAAGGTGAGGGTACAAGAAAGATACTGTATTACATACAAATCATTCTTGTGAAACTGGGATAAAAGGAAGGGAGAGGGGAAACAGATGTGCACACCTAACTGGACTTAAGTATGAGGAGGCAGGTTGCTGGGAGCCAAAGCCCCATAACATCTGGCTTTATGTGTCTGGGAGAATAGAAACAATGGAAAAAAGGAAAAAAGGAACTATAAGAGGTAATTCTTTGGGGGAAAAGGTGAGTAGAGTAATGTAAGATTAATGTAAGACACGTGGAAATTGAGAAACTCTGAAAAAAAAAAGATCTATAAAAAGTGGTCCAGAAGGCATTTAGAAGTGAGAGGGTAGAGCTAGGGATTCTATAGTCTTAATTAGCACAGCACTCCTGAGCTAAACTTCACACCTTATATGCAAAGCTTTAAGCAATCTTAAGTGATATGCTAAAGGTAGCATGACTAGTTAATGCAAAAGCCAAGTTACAATGACTGGGTTCCCTGATTTTGTCTAGTCACACACATAAAAATGGTAAGTTAGGAGTGTAGAGCTATGGATAGATACAGCTGAGTGGTATGCTTGCCTAGCATGAGCAAATGGATAATAAACATCACACTAATAAAGGTAAAACTTAGAAATGGACATCTCACTAGAAAATATAACTTATCAACACTGACTCAAGAAGAAACGGATGAATCTGAAGAGTCCCACAGCATTTAAAGAAACCGAATTAGTAGCTAAAAGTCTTCCCACAAAGAGAATACCAAGGCTAGGGAATTTTACTCAAAGGTGGCTCCAAAATTTCAAGAAACAAGTAATTTTAATTTTTCACAAACTTTTATGCAGAATAGTGAAATAAAACAGAAAATATTACCTAAGTCAGCATAACCTTGTGAGGTCAGCATAACCTTGATAAAGAAAAGTGGGAAAAAGAAAAAAATAACAGTTTCATTCATAAAAATATATAGAAAAAAACTAAATAATAATAATGATAGCAAAGCTAATCTATGAGGAAGATATATTATGACTACAGAGGATTTATTTCAGGAATACAAGGTTGGCTTGGGGTTAAAAAAATCAGTAACATGATTTACTAAATACATAATCATCTCCAAGAATACAGAAAGATGTTTACATTTTAGTATCCAGTTATGATAAGAACTCTAGATATCGGAGCAGACAGTAGCTTGAGTTGATAAACAGTACACAAAAAATAAATGTTACAGTTAATGGTGAAATGTTAAAAGCACTTTTAAGGACATGGACAGCAGCTTTGACTACTTGTATTATACTGGCAGGCCTAGCCACTAGCAAAACAAGACAAGAAAATAAAACACGAGAGTTGGAAAAAGGAATACCAACAATCAATCTTGATCACACATATGGACTATCTTAAGGAATCTAACAATTATTAGAATAAGAATTTCATAAGGCTGAATACACAAACTCTACTTCAAAATTGGTTTTGTATATGTCAAGTTACGAAGAAATTAAAGATTTTTCTGTATACCACTTAAAAGAAAATCCTGAGGCCAGGTGTCAATGGCACACTCCTGTAATCCCAGCACTTGGGAGGCTTAGGCAGGAGGACCAATTTGCCAAGGTCAAGGACAACCTGCATCACACAATCAGTTCCAGGCCTGTCTGATTTATATAGCGAGACCCTTTCTTTAAAAAAAAAAAAAAAAGTTTTGGGAGCAAATCTATCAAAATACAGTAAGTATGATCAGCAGAAAATTATAATAAAGAAGTTATTGTTTTGTTATAAAACTCTAAGACAATACAGAAGAAAGAAATAAATGCTTAGTTATTAGAAGACTCTACATTGTAAAGATCAAGCTATCAAGACTCACTACAGAGCAATAATAATTAGGGGTTGTGATATTAATGCAATAGGTCAGAGCAGAGTCCACAAACAGAGCCACACATCCCTATAAAAACTAGGAAGAAGACAAAGGTGAGGAAAAGGAGGAATAAGACAGGTCAGTGAACAAGGGATGGAGTCTCCACTAAAGGGGTAACAGTATCCATTTGGGAAAAAATGAAATTTGACTGAATTACACTGTATGAAAAGAAAAGAAAAATTCATAAAGATTAAAGGCTTAAATACGAAGTACAAAACTGTTAACATTTTCAGAAGACAAAAATAAGAGATAAGTGCTGGGGATTTAGCTCAGTGGCAAAAGCACCTGCCTGGCAAGTGCGAGGTCGTGAGTTCGGTTCCTGGTAC